AATCCCATTTTGCTCCAAAGAGGTGTTTTTACTCCTGGAGAAATTTGTGACAATTTATAAGACTGTAAATAATTATTTTCATGTTTATTTGGATGGTCTCCTGTACCTCTCCTGAGGCAGAGCAGTGAGGAAAAGTTCTTTTTTTCCCCACTCGTCTTTAATTTTAAAGGCCTCCTGCAAGGAGGAATTGCTAGGCAGGAATGGGAAGCAGAGGGAGAGGGACTTTTGGGATTAATGAATTGGCCAGAGTGGACAAGGCAGCTCTTCACAGCTTTAAACCCCATTTTATATCCCCCATTCCCACACAGGGAGAAATAAACAGAGTTTTGCTGTGGTTATTCAGGGAGTTTATGATGGTTGTAACATTTTGTGCTGCTCACCTCACTCCAGCCCTGCATTTTCACACTGAGATGAATTTCTGCTGCGAAATGAGCCCTGAAAATAGTTTACCTGCCTCCAAATGGCTCCAAACCCTCGGGAAATCCTCTGGAGCCACACCAGGGAGCTCTGGAATGGGCAGAATGGCACCCTGGGCACAGCCCTGGCTTGGTGCCCTTGCCAGAGGCTCTGGAGTGTGGCACCAGCAGGAAGAGCTGCAGAGGGAACACTGGAAAATCCAGGACTATCAAATTTAGTGTTTATATATTCAATACTATCACATTCAGCACTATTAAATTCATATTCAGACCTATAAAATGTTGTTTAAAATTTGCCTCCACCATCAAAGCCAAAGGACCTTGAGGAAAACCAGCGGAGTTTTTTCTACCCCCTTTTCTGGCTGAGCAGGCCGGCAAGTTCAGAGCCATCCCTGGGGAAATCAATGGATAATTTATCCCACTTTTCAGGCCACCCTCATGTACACCCCACCCTCTTTCCTACAAGAGCCTCTCAGGGCGAGAAGATCCTGCACCAAACAGTGCCGGATTCATCCATGACCTAAAGCCCAACTCGAGTATTATCAAATCCTACCGAATCTGCTCCCAACTCTCTTCAAGGAGGAGCAGATTCCTGCCCTCCCCAGCTCTCTGGATGCCCTATTCCAAGCCCAGCGAGCCCCCGGTGCTATTCCAGCCTCCCCGAGGTGTTTTTTCAGCAGCACAACCCAGCAGAGCTGTCCTTGCCAGGCCGGGCCCTCCCACTCCGCGGTAGGGACCCGTCCCGCTGGGAAGAGAACGGGAATGGCTTTAGCAGCCCCTCGGCCCGTGCTGGGTTTGTTTGCAGAGCCGGCCGGGGCTCAGGAGCTGATCCCGCCTGGATTTACACCCAGCCAAGGCTTCTATGTGGGCTCAGCCTTTAGCGGGACGTCAATCCGAAGGAAAATATTGGGAGGGAGTTTTGTTTCTCTTTCAGAGCACTGGAGGAGCCGGGGAATATTCCCCACGGAGAGAGAGACACCTGGGCTCCACGCTCTTGGGGGGCTTTTCTAGCCTCAAGGATTCCATGATTCCACGATTCCAGGGATCTGAGGAGGAGGCGAGGGCTCCCTGTGGGAAGGAGCTGTTCGTATCTCAAGGCATCTCCCGCTCCCACCAGAGCACCGCGGTTCCCAGTTCCCCTGGACGAACTTCTAGCAGAGGGGGGCCGGATTTCCCGGGAGTGCCGGGAGGGGGAGGAAGGAGCCCGGCTCTGTCCTTTCGCCACGTTCCGTGCGGGATCCCGGTCCCCAGGTCCTTTCCAGAGGCGGCGGCTGCTCCTGCCAGCCGGCCCCTCCTCGCACGCGGCTCCCAGATGTGCCGTCCAGGATTTGCAAGGAGCGACCTTCAATCTCCTTCTCCTTCCAGCCCCAGACTCCGCCGTTAGCCGAAATTCTTCCCAAAATACTCGATGTTGTTAAATATCAACTCCTGGGAAGGAAGGGTGATCCCTGGCACCGGGCACATCCAGAGCTGTGGGATGCGGCTGGCGCTGCACATCCCCACGCTCAGGGTATGAAATCAGATTCCAAAGCCACTGAAACGCTTCCCGGGCAGAAAAGGAGGAGAAAATCCAGATAAAGAGAAAGGCGGTGTGGACCCATGCGATTCTTTGCGGATTTTCAACGCTCCCTCGGAGCGTTGTTGCCCTCGGATCAGCAACCTTTCCCGTCAGCGATTTTTTATTTAAAGGATCCAGGATCCCGCTCTCGTTTTCACGTTGAGAATCTCTGATCACAGAACACAGAGGGTTTTTTAGGGGGAAAAAAATTCAAACGGAAAAACTCATGAGGGGTTTGATGTGATTTTAATGCGGGTGGGTTTAAGGAGCCTCTGACAGGGAGGGATTTTATGGAAGAAAATCGCTTTTGACAAATATTATTGTTAATTATTGAACCTGTGGCCTTGACAGACCTGATAGAGATACTCAGAATGAAGCTCTGGAGAAGGATTTTATTTTGCTGAGCTCTCAAACGTTCTTCTTCAGAGACCAGGAAGATTTTTTGGGATTGCCCTGCAATTGGGCAAAATACTGGAGGAAAAATCCTGTTGGAATTTTGTGATGTCTCTGACACACAAAGCACAGGCTGAGGCACCCAGAACTTACTGGGGGTTTTCAGAGTGTCTGATTCCACAGGATTTTCCAGTTTGGTTTGATCCCGATGGAATAGGAGCTCCATAAAATCCTGTAAGAGCACCAGCGTTCCTGAATCAGTAATGAATTAATAATAATAAAATAATGTAGCATAGGATGGCAGTATCAGACAACAACACAATAGAATATATTATTGTTATTGTATAATAATTTAACAGCATTATCTATTACAGAATAATATTAATTATATTATTTTGTAATAAATAGTCTGTAATAAATACTGGTGAAACACCCCCGACCCCCTACTTTTATTCTAATCTCCAGCTGCTGTAGCAGAAGAACATCCTTGGCATTCCTGTCTAATATCCTTGATATTTCCATCCAAGTAATCCTGATAGTTCTATTTTAAAGTAAAAAAAAAAAAAAAAAAAAAAAAAAAGTTCCAGAACTCCCTGCTTCTCTGGATTTTTATTCAGCAAAATTAATGACGCAAAATCGCGCCTTCGTCATCCAAGGCTCAGCCGGGCATAAAAATACCCACAAAAATCCCATCAGCTTTGGCAAAACCAGGGAAAATTAGGGGTTTTAAAGTATTTTTTTCACGCTGGATAGCGTTCAAGCAGGGAAAGAGGGGCTGGAGAAGGGAAAGAGGAGCCAGAGCGGATCAAAACCATCGCGAACAGGGCAGGGCAGGCAATGGCCAGGGGGGAGCAGGTTTGGGGGTCCGGTGCTGCTCTGGGAGCTCCACAGGGAGCTGGACAGGGAGCTAATTTACTGGGATTTTCCTGCCACATCTCACCTGAGCAGCCGCCCCTCTCCTTTTCCTTTTTTCTCTCGCTTTCTTTTCCCTTTCCTTTTAATAGTTTTCTGTTTTCTCTTATTTTTCCTTAGTTTTTTTAATCCTAATTAAAAAACCTATTCTTCTTTTTGCTTTTATTTTCCCTTCCTTTTCTTTTTATTTCCCCCGCTTAACTTTCCTTCATCATCTACCTCTCTTCCTTTCTTTTTTCTTTTTTTTTTTCTTCTTCGTTTTCTTTTCATGTTGATTTCCCTCCGTCTTCTACTTATTTTCCTTCGATTTCTTTCTATTATTCCTTTCCTTCTTCTTTCCCTTCCCGTTTCCTTCAGATCCCTTTCCATCCCCGCTATATCCACGCGCACATTCCTGCGGGGACTGGATCCCGGTGATGTCCCCGGGAACCCGGCGGGGTTCCGAGGACGCGGGTGGTGTGCGGGGAGCAGGTGAGGTATCTTCTCCTTGGAAAAGCCTCATCCCCAGGGGTCAGGGATGGCGCGGCCTGGAGGGGGAAAAGGCTCCTCCATCGGCGGCAGGGGACGCCCAGACCTCCCAAAAAACCCATCCCCAGGGATCCTCAGGGCCGTGAGAACCGCACCTGCCTTGCCCGGCCGCTTTTCGATCGCCGCCTCCCCGGGGGTTACGGCAGCCGCTCCCCGGGGCGAGCACGGCGAACTCATCGCATCGGGGCTGCCACCGGGCTGCCACCGCGGGCGAGAAGCACCCCCAGGACCCTCGCCCCCGGGCGAGGCGAGGCTCCCGGTTAATCGATCCGCTCGCTTTCCCGGGACTTCTTCCAGAGCTGAGGCCCCAGTTGGGTTCAGCGCCACAGCTCGGCGCAGGGGTGTCCTTCGTGCCCCCTGCCCGCGCCGGCGGACACGGGGGTGACGGGCGCCGGCCCTGCCCGAGGCCCCGCTGCAAACCCCCCAAGGGGCCACGTTTCCACACGCTGCATCCCCCCGAGTCCCTCACCCTTCCACCCTTTCGCGGGAAACACTCACGGTCTTCCTACCGAGCTCTCCGTGAGGGGGGATAAAAATCCCCGGGAATCCCACGGCCCTCGCCCCATCTGCGTTTGACGGATTTGCCCCCGGGTGGGTTTTTTTGGGGCCGAAACAGGCGGATTTCGCCGCCGGCAGCTGGGCAGTAGCGTGTCCGCAGGGGAGCCCCCCCGAGGGGCGCTTCGTGTCCCCCGAAAGCGCGCTCGGCCCGTCCCGTCCCGTCCCGTCCCGCAGCCCCCGGCCATGCCCCCAAGCGCGGGGCCGGAGGCGGGGAAGGTGCGTGTCCCTGTCCCGCGTGGGAACCAGTCGGGGAGGGAGCGGGGGGCCCGCGGCTCGGGGGCTATGGGACCCCCGCTGTGTCCCCGCCGTGCTCTCCTGCAGCTCGGGGGCGCTCGGAGGGGGTCCCCGGCCGTGGAGGGACCCCGAGAGGGCGGGCAGAGGGGGCGGCTCCCCCGGCCCCACTGGCCGCGGCCATTTAGGAGCGGGTGGGAGCCAATGGGCGGCAGCGCTGCCGCCGTGACGGCCGCGATTGACGTGATTCCCACGTCAAATTGATCCCGAGGAGCGGCGGGGGCTCCCCGCGAGCGGGGATCGCTCCCGGCGCCGCCAGGACCCCCCGGCCCGGCCGCCCCCGGGCTCTCTATGCCGCGGCTGCGGAGCGGCCGCCCGGCGCTGCCCCCTCCCCGCGCCGGGCCATGGGTGAGTGCGGCCGGCCCCGGACGGGCTCCGGGACGCGTCCGGGACGGGCTCCTGGCGAACCTGGGCACCGGGAAGGGGCAAGAGGCGGCTGGGGGTCCCGGGGCGCCGTGACCGGCCGGGAGGGCTCCGGGCTGCTGCGTCCTCCCCGCGCCTCTCTTCGCTTTCGCTCCGCTCCCTCCTTGCGACTCCTTCTCCCATTCTCGTTCTTTTGCCTTCTCTCCTTTTGTCCCACTCTCCTTTTTTGTGTCCTGTTTTTCCCTCTCGTTGTCCCTGACGTTTCTTTTTCTCTCATTCTTTCCCTGTCTTTTCTCCCCCTTCTTTTTTTACTATCATTTTTATCTCACTTTTCCCTATCTGTATGTCTCCTTTCTCTCTTTCCCCTTACCTTGGGCTTTTTATCTCTCTTTCTCTCTTCCCCTCTCATACTCGTTCTGCTTTTCCTTTTTCCTTTTTTTCCTTCCCTTCCTTTTCCCCCTTCCTTTCTCCCTTCTTCCTTTTTTCCTTTTCCTTTTCTCCCCTCTTCTTTTTTCCTTCCCTGTATTCTTTCTTTTCCCCCTTTCCTTTCCTTTTCTTCCCTTCCTTTTCCTTTCTTCCCTTTTTTGCTCCTTTCCCCCCCTCCCTCTTTCGTTCCCCCTTTCCCTTTCTCTCCTCTTTTCCCTCTCCCCTTGCCGCTGCAGCGCCATCCCCATGCCGCGCCTGCTCGCCGCGGGGGCAGCCCGCGGGCATCACCGCTCCCGTGCCGTCCCGCCCCGCAGAGCACACGTACGGCGAGGTGAACCAGCTGGGCGGCGTGTTCGTGAACGGGCGCCCGCTGCCCAACGCCATCCGCCTGCGAATCGTGGAGCTGGCGCAGCTCGGCATCCGGCCCTGCGACATCAGCCGCCAGCTCCGCGTGTCGCACGGCTGCGTCAGCAAGATCCTGGCCCGCTACCACGAGACGGGCTCCATCCTGCCCGGGGCCATCGGCGGCAGCAAGCCTCGGGTCACCACGCCGGCCGTGGTCAAGCACATCCGCGACTACAAGCAGGGCGACCCCGGCATCTTCGCCTGGGAGATCCGCGACCGCCTGCTGGCCGACGGCGTGTGCGACAAATACAACGTGCCCTCGGTCAGCTCCATCAGCCGCATCCTGCGCAACAAGATCGGCCCGCTGGCCCCCGCCGGGCCGCCCCCGGCCGCGCTGCCCTGCGCCCACATCTACCAGTACCCGTACCCGGGCCCCGCGGCGCCGCCGCCCGCCAAGGCCGGGCCACACCCCGGGGGACACCTCGGGGCCCCCCCCGTGGCGCTGGCCCGCTCGTGGCCCTCGGCGCACTCGGTCACCAACATCCTGGGCATCCGCACCTTCGTGGAGCAGGCGGGTGGGTACCGGCAATTTCGCTTCCCCTCACCCCTCTCGCCCTTTTTTAGTTCTTTTTTTTAGCCGATTTTTTTTGGTGTCGGTTTAGGGGTTTTTTGTCTCTTCGTGCTGGCGGTTTTTTGTTCGGTTGGGTTTTTTGTTTGTTTGTTTCAAGGGTTTTGTTGGTTTCGTGTTTTTTATTTGTTTCGGGGGTTTTGTTTCTTTCGTGCCTTTTGGCTCGTTCGGGGATTTTTTTGCTTGTTTCGACTTTTTATTTGGTTCGTGCCTCTTTGCTCATTTCGTGCCTTTTTGCGTGTTTCCTTCTTTTTATTATTTCGAGTTTTTGTTGTTGTCGTTTATTTCGTCTATTGCTCTTTTTTTTTAAATTCTTTTTGTTTGTTTCGTGTATTTTCCTTCCCCCCCCCCCGCCATTTTCCCCCTTTTTTTTTCTCCCAAGGGGCCTCCCCCCGTTCCACCACCCCGTCGGGGCGGCGGGGCCAGATGCGGCCTCGTCTCAGCCACATCTTGAACTTTTTATGAAAAATGTGGAAAATATTTTCCTAGGGATGATAGATTGCCGACCGCAAATTCGGAGCCCTGAATTTCGCTCCGCAAAGGGGCATTAAAAAAAAAAAAAAAAAAAAAAAAAAGCGAAAAGGAGGGAAAAAGAGAGGAAATAAGAGGAGAGGAAAAATCAGGGAGGAAAGGAAAGAGAAGCCAACTCGGATCCGGCCTCCCGGATTCTTCCGAGGAATCTGAGAATTTTGGGGCTCCGGGAGCACCGGCAGCGCCAAGGCCGATCTCCACCGGCTCCAAGGCGGGACAAGCGGGCCGTGGCAGGGGGGGTGCGGATCCTTTTATCCTTCCAAAAGCTCAAGTAAATCAACCGCATGCGTTTCCCCCCGCGCAATCATTTATCCTTAAAATTCCGATGTCACTTCTCCAAATCCCCTTCGTCAGAAGAGAAATTTGGGCCCCTAAATTATCGGGTTTGGGAACTGGGAGCGGGGGAGGGGGGGGACGGCGAGCGGGTTTTGGGGGGGACACCGCAGCCTCTCCCCGCGGCGTGATCGCAGATACCGGAATGCTGGAGGAAACGCGGGTTCTTGTGCCCCCAGTCCCTGGGTTTACACAACCAGGTGTTTGGAAAAGCGGGAATTTCCTCTCTTTCACCCCAAAATCTGCTCGGGTCCGGCCCGAGGGGTTCGGGGCTGACGTTTTGCTCCCCAGGGGCTCTGGCTGGCACCGAGGGGGCCGCGTACCCTCCCAAAATGGAAGAGTGGCCCAGCGGGAACAGAAGCGGCTTTCCCGGGCCGGGCCAGGCGGTCAACGGGCTGGACAAGGCTGCCATGGACGGCGACATCAAATACCCCCAGGTGAGGGCTGGGGACGGAAGGGGACATCAAATACCCCCAGGTGAGGGCTGGGGACGGAAGGGGACAGGGAAGCGTGGCTGGAATGAGGCAGAGGAGGACAAGGCGGGGTGATCAGGGAGGGGCCGGGGAGATGGAAAGAGAGGACAGGGAGCCCCGTCCGCCCCCGAGCGGGATGCCCCGCGCCGGGCGGGCTGTTCTGAGCCCCTGTCCCATTCTGTCCCCGTTCCTGTCCCCAGCCCGGCGCGGGGCTCTCCTCCATGGGCACCTTCCTGCCGGCCTGCGCTTACCCCCCCTCCAGCCAGCCCGGCGTCTACGGCGGCTCCCCCGGCGCCTACATCGCCCCGGGCCCCCCCTGGCAGCCGCAGGGGACCCCCCTGGGCCACCACGGCCACGGCGTGACCCTCGCCGGCGGTGACTTGAGCATGGCCTTCAAGCAGCCCAGCGGTGAAGGTGAGCGAGGACAGCGCGGGGACAGGGCCGGGAGGGAAGCCCAGGCTCAGGAGGGGCCGTCCCGCGGGGGATTTGGATGATCCGTCCCATTCCCCACCCGGGATCCCCGCCACACGCCGGCTCTACACTGGGATTTCCCTCCTCGCTCGCTGGGAGCCGCCAGGGAACGGGGAAGATTGCCGGGCTGCTCGTGTCCCCGGGAATGAGGGAGCGTGGCGAGAGAGAGCAGGAGCCTTTCCCCGTATTCCCCGAAACTGACACCCATCCCAAGAACCGGGAGCCTTGACAGGGAAGCATTAATTCCTAGTAATTACCTAGTAATTATTAACTGACAGCAATGATGTAACTATTTGTTTGAAGTTATTAGTTATCGTAATTAACTGTTATTTTGTTTAATTGGTTCCCGGCGTTATTAATGAATTATTTCCCTCCGAACGCTCCGCCGGGAATCCCACGGGAGCAATTTGAGGCTGTCCGGGGGGGCGTTGCTTTTATCTCCCGTTAATTATTTCGCTTCATTAATAGAGCTCGATTCCCTCGTTTTAAAAATCCCGATTTTTCCGCCCTGGCTATAAAATCCCCTTCGACATTTTTGTCATTTTCCCCACGTTATTTGACTTTCTATTATTTTAATTAATTGGCAATTAATTCCCTATTTATTCGTCCTTTTTTTATGGTTTTTTTTTTTTTTCTGGGGTTTAAAATTTTTGTTTGGTTTTTTGTTTATTTGTTTGATTGGATTTTTTATTTGTTTGTTCTTAAATAATTTTATCGGTGAGTTGTAACCTCAGCTGTGCCCAGGAGGAGCGATTGACGGTGAAAATAAAGAATTCAAACCGATTATTCAAAGAAAAAAAAAAAAAAAAAAAAGAAAAGAAAAAAGGGAGAGAGAAGGAAGGAAAAGGAATGGGAAAAAATGAGAAAGAAGGAAAGAAAAAAATAAGGATATAAAACGACCACAGGCACCTTTACATATTTAACATATTTTCGAGGTACTTAAAATTATTTGGAGACTGAATTCTCTGATTTCCATTTTTAAGCTGTTTTGTCTCCAGACTTTCTCTAAACCTTTGTAGGTTTTTATAGATTTTGTAGACCTTTGTAGATTTATTGATGGGGTTTAATTACATGTGGTTTTTAAATGGATTTTTATTTTTCTCTTTAAAATTTATTTTTAAATTTTCCCATTTTCCCCTTTGGATCGGTTTTCTGATTCTGCCACTTGCCTGGGACGAGGACAATGTTGGATTATCCGACAAACGAGCTGGAGGAGGAAGGGTAGGGTGGACTGGGGTACCTGTAGCGAGTGTGAAAAATCGGAAAAGCCTGGAAAGAAGGAAGCAAATCCCAGCCAGGCAATTTCAGCCCTTTCTCAGTTTCCTGGATTTCCCCCGAAAACCCTCCCTGCTTATCCCAGTGCCTCCAGGAGCCCCGGGATAAATATCCCGGTCCTCAAAGGCAGAATTCCCGAGGGCTGAGCTGGGCTAGGATGGAGCTCAGCGGGAATTTCATCACCTCTGGAATGGTGGCACTGCCCTGTCTCCTTCCCCTCCTTAGCACAGTCCCCTCCCAGGACACCCCAAATTTTAGGAATTTTTAGGGATGTGTTCTGTGCGTGGCTGGGACTGGTCGGGGCCACCACGCCAGGTCACCCCATGTCCCTGGCAGTGCCACCAGCGTTGTCCCTGTCACTGGGGGGGGTGGGAGGCGGGTGGGGTGGGGTCACATTCTCTGTTGGAGGGACTCGAAGCGGCTCTTGAGGCGGTTTTTGGGGTGTCCCCCCGTGCTCGGAGTCCCTCCATCCCTTGCCTGGTCTGTCCTTTTCCCTCTCCCCCTTCCTGCAGGGGTGGACAGAAAACCCCCCAGCCCCGTGCGGAAAGCTCCGGAGCCCCTGAGCGCCATCCATGGAATCTCCATCCCGACCTCCTCGTCCTAGAGCCGCCGAGCAGCTGCCCAGGGACTCTTGGAATCTTGGAATCAGCTCCTGCAGCCCGGGGCTGAAGCCCGGAGTGGGGACAAGGGGACAGCCTGGGCGGTGACAGGTGACTTTCTGCCTCGTCAAATCCCCGGCAGGACATTCCCGGAGGGACACTTAGACTCCATTGGATTGGAAAGGGATGATGGAAGAGACTCAGTTTTCCTTCTTTATTATTTTATTTTATTTTATTTTATTTTATTTTATTTTATTTTATTTTATTTTATTTTATTTTATTTTATTTTATTTTATTTTATTTTATTTTATTTTATTTTATTTTATTTTATTTTATTTTATTTTATTTTATTTTATTTTATTTTATTTTATATTTTCTCCCCCTTGCTTTCAGTTTTTCTTTCTCCTTCCCCATATTCCCGAGAACTGTTGGATGCCGCGATTTCTTCCGTCCCCAGGCACTGCCGGCAGCATTCCCGGCTCTGTCCCAGCCCAAGGGAGTAATTCCCGGCTCTCCCAAGGAGCATCCGTGCTGGAGCCCTTCCTTCAGCCCCTTTTCAGTGCCTCTGCCCCAGGATGGAAATGGACCAAAAGTGCCAAGACGTTTTATAGGATATTTCTATAATAAGGAGTCTTAATAAAAAGTGACAACCGTGGGCACACTGCGGTGACCTCCCTCCCTCGGGGTGAGCACCGTCCCTTCTCCAGAGAAGCTCTCTGGGAGCGGGGGGACTCGGTGGGATCCCTTGGAATCGCTCCCTGAGCTTCCTCCCGGGATTCTCCCGCATCCCGGGGCTCCGTGGCCACGTCCTCGCTCCATCACCTGGCCCCGGGGCCCTGCCTACTCCCAGGGGACTGTCCCCGTGTCCTCCCGCTCCCGGGCAGCTGGCAGGCGTTCAGGATGGGGTTTCGCATTCCCTGGCTCCTCCAGCCGCTGCCGCTGGCGTCGATCCCTTCATTGTGTGGGAAGGGGCAGGTCCTGCAGCGGGGCAGGGAGGGAATATCCTGGCAGAAGAAAACACGCCGGGATTTCTGCGGAGAGGGTGTCTCGGTGGGAGGGAGGGAGGGAGGGAGGGAGCTGAGGGATGCCAAACGCAGCCCATCCTGGGACACGATTTTTTTTCCAACCTCGGCATGGCAAAATTCAGTTCTGCCTCTGCTAAAGCCAGGCTTTGATTCCCACTGCAGAGCTCGGCAAGGAGGGAAGCTGAGTAATTCAAGGAGGTGAGAGCACAGTCCTAGGGCAGGATCTTCAGCCCGACTGTGGCTGAGTGGATTTTAGGGCTGTGAGGATGGAGGAGTCACCTGAACCAGAGGAGCAGTGGCCCTGGCCCATCCCCTGCCAGGTTTATCCATTAAAAGCTCCGTTCCAGTGCATGGAAGAGTAGCTTTGGGAATGACAAGGGACAGTAAAACCATTAAAGTGTGATGTTTGCTGTGCGCCAGTTCCCAGCATCCACTGGGGCTCCTCATCTCTGCGTTCCAGGCAGGGATATCCCTCTGGATATGGGACTGGGGCTCTGGGATGAGCAAGGCACCAGTTCTGGAGTCAGATCTTTTCCATTCTGGTCCTGCTGAGATGTGACTCCTCATTCTGCTATCCCTCTAGGCAGGGATATCTCTGTGGATATGGGACTGGGGGCTCTGGGATGAGCAAGGCTGGAATCAGATCCTCTCCATTCTTGTCCCGTGGGGATGGTGCATGAGGACATGAGTTATTTCCTTCCAAGACTGCCACGGACCTGCCTAATCCCTGGAAAACCAGGTGGATGCTGAGAATCCCCCCACAGCCACAGGGCAAAGGTGGCCATTCCTGTGCACTTCCTGGCTGTGATTAAAAATGCCATTTTCATGATTTCCTGTGGAGAAGGGATTTTTCTCCTAAAATATCCCCAAAATATTTCCCTGTGCCCAGCAGAATTCCTGGGGCAGGCAGAGCCACCAAAAACCCCAATCCAGAGGTCTTAAACTGGCTGGCACCTGTTAGGAAGATCCAGAACATTGTGGCTTGGAGTCCACAAGGAGGAGGGATAAAGGAGATTTGCTGGGTAGGAAAACACCTTTGGGACTTGTATTCCCATGGAAGCATGGAGAAAATCCCTAGGAGAATTCTGTGCTTGCGTCGTGCATCTCAGCTCATGGAAAAATCCTGGGAGTGGAGACTGCCCCCCCCCCCCCCAAAAAAAAAAAAAAAAACAAACCCCCAAATAAATACAATAAAATCAGGTTTTCAGGCAGGGTGAGGTGCTGCTGTGCTTGCCCACAAACCAGGCAACCTGACAGAACCTAGGGAAAATTGGACTTGATGGGAACAGAACTTTTGGAATTGATGGGAATAAAGCAAGGGTGTGGAAACAATCAGCTCTGACATTTCTGCAGCAATGGTCCTGTCAAAATCGATCCCATCCCTTGCAATACAGTAATTTGGATGGAATGGGGTTTGCAGTCTGAAAAAAAATGAGGTTGGAACTGTTTCCCTCAGCTCTACCTGCTCCATATATCTTTAGCACCCTTTGGAGAGCACAGAGCAGGATGGGGAACGTTACTGGAGCCTTGCTGGTGGACCCTAGATTGATTTCTTTCCTGGAGTGTTTGGAATCCTAAGGATTTAAACCCATCCCTCTGCTGTAGGAATGGGCTGGGGGAGTGGGGCTTGCAGATGTTTGGCATCAGCACAGGATCTGCTTTCCTGGGATTCCAGCACTCCTTGCTCCAGGTTGTGGCTGAAGAAGCTGGAAGGGACTGGAGGGGATCCCCTCGGAGATCAGGAATGGTCCAGGGAAGATCCAGGCTCATCATCCTGTGGATGATCCCAAGATACCAAAGATGGGCCCAGGCTGGAAAAGAGCTGATCTAAAATTCCCAAAGTCAGATTGGAGCAAATCCTTTGGGTTCTTTGGAGGTAAATCCTCCTCCTTGTGCCGGAACTTGGAAAAATCCGTGCCCAGCTCTCCAGAGAAGCTGCAAATCCCCTCCTCATTTGCAGGGTTATAAACCTGCCCACAACTCCTTAAGTTGCATTTGGAAATGGGAATTTGATTCCCAGATCCCTCAGGCACTTCATAACATTCCCTCTTAATAGGGAGTTCTTAATTTTGGGGGAATCCAGCAGGTTTTTACCTCTGGAAACCTTTCCCAAAATCTTTCTGCCGCTCCCAGCCCACAGCCCAGGAAAATCCCACCTCATTTCCCAGTGAGAGGCTGGAGAAGGGGGCTGGAGTGGCTGGAAGAGGTTTGGAATTGGAAGGTTGTGATGGGAAGCATCCAGGACCAGTCTGGGATGTGTGGGATCAGCCATTCCCTGGGATCAAATGGCTGTAGGAGTGCAGCCCTGGTGGAGTTTTGACAGAAATCTCCATAATTTGTAGAAAACTGGGGATGATAAATGGCAGGAAAAAATTCCCTGGGTCATAATAGTTTCACCCTACCACCAAGCAGCTCTGTGGGTTTGGGGCTCCTTGCAGAAGCTTCCAATGGATTTTGGAGGAATTGGGAAGGGAGATCAATGACAGGGCTGACAAACCTTTTCTTCCTTGTTATTACTGATAGAAATTTAATCATTCCCATGGGGAAAACCTCCCCCCTTCCTGCTATCCCTTCTCCTGCAGCAGAAATATGAAAGTCCTTTCAATCCCAAAGTTATATGGACCTGGCAAGGAACAGTGAAGCTTTCACTCCCAGAGATATCCCAGTTTTGGCACCATGATCCCAGAAAATGATGTCATGCAGGATTTCTGTGCCAGAGTTTTCCCCTTCTTCTTCGGATTTGTGGAGATGTCAAAGTTCCTCTCTGGAGCAGGTCTGGTTTTAATATTCCATATTTACGTTTTTCATTTCGGGGCTGGCTGGAGCCTCTGCCGGTCCCAACCTCATGGATGCCACTGGAAGAGGAGCTGGGATGGATTGATGGGCACTGTTGGATTCCTAAACCTTGGGAATTGGCCCTAAAATAGTCCCTGCTCATTTCTCAGGAGCTGTAATTCCCTCTGCTCTGCTCCACTGCTGTTCCTGTTCCCCTTCCCACAGGGAACACCCCCCTTTGCCAGGAAGGGATCCAGCTGATCCTGGAGCTGCCAAGCCTCATGAATCCATGAAAAATCCCTGGGAAGTCAAAGACCCAAAGTCCCTAAGTGTCCATGCCCCGTGGGATAGTGAGGAGCACAGCTGGCAAAGATTTTCCTGATCCTAGGAGGAAACAGGAGGCTCGTGGAAATGGATCCACATTCCTTGGGCTGCTTGGTGCTCCCATGGGATAAAGTGGGAATAAACCAGGCAGCATTGGAAAATCCTGGCTGCCCAAAACTTTTCCTGCAGGAACACTCCAAAGCCAGCAGGGAATTTGTCTTTTGGCTTCCTTGGACCGCCAGAGCCATATTTTAAAGCCGGGAATTGTCAGCATCCAGGCGCAGCCCCTGGAGCTGGTGACGCAAATGTGACAGGAGACAAGGTCAGGTTACAGATGAGGCCACTCCAAAGCCTCTCCTGGAGAACCAGAGGTTTGAGGAAAGGGATCAAATGTGCTGGGAGGAAAAAAACCAACCCAGTAGAGTGCGAGAAATCTGCTGGAAAGGGAGAATAAAATTCCCTCTGGTAGGAACTTGGTTGCTTTTGGAGGCAGCCAGTGAGTTCTAAAGCCACGTCCCTCAAAACCAATGCCCCACCCGGCATTGGCAGCAAAGGGTCCTCTGTCAGTGGGGTTTGGAAGTACATCCATAAGGAATTCCCAGCTTGGATCTTGAATGAAATCTATCCTTCCAGGAAGGCCTGGAGACCTCAAGCAAGGTTGAAGTAGGAGGTGAGAAACCACTGAGGGAATCCATGGAAGAATGTCGGAATTCCCTGCATTTGACCTGCTGGGTTGATCCCAAGATCTTTCCAAGGAGTTTTGCACCTCCAGGAACTTCCCTGCCTCATGAACATTCCCTTTCCTTCATTCCACCTTGGATGAGGCGGGGCTACCTGGCTCCATCCGCTCTGGGAATCACCTCCAGGAAAAATTTCATGCCAGAAAGAGCTTCCAGAGCCAGAGCTGCCAAACTCCACTTTGCTCCGGGATTAAATTCCCTCCCGTCTCCCAAGCAATAACAAAGCACCAACATTATGGAAAAGCTGTCAGGAATCCGATTGTTTTCCAAACACCATGGATCCCTCTCCATTTCAAGGAATGAGTGGGGTTGCTTTTGAGGTTGGAAGGATTAAGCACAAAGATTCCCAAACAAAACTCTGTTGTTACAGGGAACAGGGAAGCAGCTGTGGGATAGGAGTACCCTGAATGTGGAATTTTAACTTCAAAAAAACCCCAACCCTAAAAAGAGTTAAAGGAACAGCAAACATTTCATCCTGAGTAACGCGGGGCTGGAAAGGGATCATCTTTTAAGGGAATTGCCCATAACCACAACAATATTTGGGGGCTGAGCAGAGCCTAGATTGGGTGCAGATGTTCTGCTGACATTCACATGCATCCCGAAGGAGAAAATTCCCTTTTTTCCTGGAGTGCTCGGCACTCTGGAGTTGCTTGAGCTTTACAAACTAATTATGAACACTAATTACTCGTTCTGCTGTTAGGCCGGGCTGCGCACTTGGGCTGAGTTTTACAAAACCCAGGGTTGGGCCTGCCCCAGCTCCTGTTCCACATCCAGGTGATTTTAGGAGCAGAATTTGCTGATTTATCCAAAATCCCAGTTCCTCTGTTAACCTTCCCACTCCCAGCATCCCAGGGCAGCTGAGGCTGGAATATTTTGGGGGTAACCTGTGCTTTTTCCCACTTCCATTCCAAACATCCCAGGGCAGGTGGGGCTGGAATATTTTGGGGGATTCCCTGAGCTTTCATTACTGTGGAGAAAGGAGATGCCTTAACTCTTCCCTTTGCCATCTCCTATTGATTTTTCCATTGAATTCCTGGGGGCTCAGGCTCTGGATGAGGCAAAGAGGGTTGGGATCTCCTTGACACCACCAATGGGTTATTTCAAATACTCCTATTCCAAGTCTTTTTCCTGTTATTCCTGCAGGGAATAGTGCCAGAGTAATGCAATCCAGAGGAAATATTCCCATTAAAACAGAGCCTGGGCTTTGGGAATGAAGGACCCAGGCAAAGACCAGGAAAATCCAGCTCAAGGGCTGCTCAGGGAACTCTTTTATGGGAGACATTTTGCAGGGAATGGCTCTGGAGCAGGAGAGGGATTTTTCACTCTATCCACAGTATTAATTCCAAGGGCTGGGAGTGGATTGGAGGCTGGAATGTGCTTCCCAGGTTAATAAATCTCCACAGGTTTATTGTTTGGGATAAAACCCATTTTCTTCAGCAAATAACCAGGATCATTTGGGGTTAGAGCAATTCCTCAGGAAATGCTTCATAACCAATGTTTTTATTGGTATCCAAGGAAATTCCTGTTCCAAGGAACATGGGCCTGTAACTTTTATCTTCCTTTAAAACAAAATCTGTTATCTTTTATGGCCACTTCCAGAGAGTCCCACTATCACTTTCCATAAAATTCAACAACATTCTTCATCCAGACTGGAGAATCAAGACCAGAGCTGGGGGAAAAGCAAAAATGTCTATCTTTTTGGGAATATTTTAGGAATTTCTGAGTTGTTTCCATTTCAAAGCCTTTGCACCCAGCTGGGACCTGGCAGAGCCCCCTCGGCTTCTGCCACTGATTCTTCTAGAATTGCTTTAATAGGGTTTTGGAGGATGAGGTTTCCACAATATCCTCAGCCTGAACTGTGAGCCTGCTTTTCTTGCCACGTGCAAACCTCCCAATAAAAGCATTTCACCCCAGCTGGATTGTGTTTCAGGTGAATCCATGGATCCCTCCCTTAATTATCCCATTGGTTCTTTGTATGATCATTGTGGATCCCTCAGGTTTGTGGTGGGATTCAGCTTTGGATCATTCCCATTAGAGGTGTCCTGCTTTTTGAGGAATTTTTGCCAAGAAATTATTCCCTTTCCTGATGCCACAGGAGTGACACCACAAACCAGCAACTTTCTCCCTATATTTTCCCTCACCCCCTGTTTTTTGGGATGGAAAAAGCTCAATATCCCATCTCCACACAGCTCCAAGCACCACAGGGATCCCACTCTGCTCCAGAGCCATTTCTCCATATCCATTAGCCAATCCTTCATGGAACCACCCCATAAATAACCAGCCATGGGGAGAGCCTGGGAACTCATTAAATCCATAGATGTTTCCTCCAGGAAGCCAGCATTTTCCCCCTGTGCCTTTGAAAGTCTTTGAGAATGGCTTGGGATGGGACACAATTAACAACAAACCTCTCAAAATATTCATTTTCCTTGTTGGAATTATCCCACCCAGTTGGAACCTGGGCCAGCACCTGCCAGAGAGAATGGGTTGGATCCCTTGGGAATGGGAAGAGGGATTGGAGCCCTGTGTTTGTTTTTCAAGGCAGTGGTTCAGGGAGCAGTTCCCAAAATCAGGCTCAGGGAAGGAAAGACTCCCCCAAACCTCCCCTGCTGCATGGAAAGGGCTGGAATGGAAGGACTGCTCCATGCATTGTTTCCCCAAAAAATACAGAATACTGAGAAAGGATAAAAAAAAAGGATAAAAAAAATTATTGATGGAATGAGGATTATTTGTAGGAAAGATTAATGCTCCATAGGTCGCTGTAACCTCTGGAACATCCTGCAAATCCTCAGACTCACCACTATCGGAAGTGATGGTTCAATATTCCACAGAAAATATGGAGCCTCTGAGAAAGAGATGAGGGTTTTTAAAAGTGGAATCGCAAAAACCCATCATTTCTCCAACCAGGAATGTGATTTACAGAGTGAAAGCTGGGGTAGATGGGAAATAGGTCATTGACAAATCAGAAACCAGGCTTGGGCAGGACATGGAAAAATGCTTAAGTGGGATGAATTTTCCCAAATTAAGCCAGGCTCCTAAATTTCCTTGAGTCCTGGTTAATAAAACCGATACACTGGATGTTCCACGGGGGATGGATTCCTGAGCAGAACATGCTCCATCCGCTGGGAAATCTGATGGAGGGCAGCCCCAAGGTCCTCAGCCTTCCACAGGGATAGGTCCTGAGGTCCTGAGCCCTGGTACTCTCTGCCTGCTGGGAAATGAGGGATCCAAAGCACCAGGATGTACCCATAAATCCCAGATACGTCCTGGATTTTCTTCCCTCCAGAGCAGGGAAATCAGAGAGTATTGAGGATGAGCAGGGGATATGGATGGGATGATAGTGATTCATGCTAGGATCATGAAGGAATTCCTGCTAACCCCTGGAATTATGCAGGAAATTTGCAGTAACATGCCCAGGTGCTTGTGGAAGCCACTCATTCATAAATCCTGGAAAAAAAAGCAATGGAATTCCAGTTGTTTTAACTGGTAACACCCCCATTTATATTTTAACTGGTGTAATCTCAGAATTGATTTTAATAGGGATATATATTAAAGTGGAATAAAATCAGACAATATTTAAATATTGATTGATTAATTAATTGATCAATCTGATGTAATTTAATATTTTCCATAATTTTTGGTATAAATGGATTTAAGAATTATTGTTATTGGTCCAACTTTTCCCTACAAACTTCCCAGTTTGGAGGGGAAACCAAGAAATGCTTCCTGAAGCCACCTGGGAGGAAAATTGGAATGGGCATTGCATTCCTGGATTCCAAGACGTCCAAGGAGCGCTGGCGTTAATTAAAGCACCTGGAAGGAGCCAGAGCTCCAGATAATTCCTTGAAATCCCCTGAAGCCCTGAGAAATGCCAACAACAAGTGCTGGGAGGAGCCGGAATTCATTATCTCCTGGGATTAAATTCCCCCATTGATCGATGTGGGAGCGCAGAGCAGAGGGGATAATCCCTGAATCCCGGAGTGGTGGCATGGGGGCAGAGCTCCAATTCCAGGGAAGGATCATTTTCCACAGGAAACTTTTCCAGAAAAGAGAGCTTGGGAATTGCACTTTGGCCAGGGTGTGTCGCTTCCCACCTGGAATTGTGTGGATTCCTGGGAATGGTGGCACCTCCAATCACCACAATGTTTTGCAGGGAATCCCCAATGCAAAGAATGGGAAGAATCTTAAAGCTCGTCCCATTTCATCCTGCTGTGGACACCTCCTCACTATGCCAGGTTGTTCCAAGCCCCATCCAACCTGGCCTCAGTCACTTCCAGGGATGGGGCAGCCACAGATGGTCTGGGAATTCCATTCCAGTCCCTTCCCACCTTCCCCGGGAAAGATTTTTCCTTAATATTCCATCAAACTCTGCCTAAAGGCTTCTCCCTCTCCACTTTCATGTGTTGTCCCACCATCCAAGAGGGCTCCTCTCCCCCTTCCCATTCCCATCCCAAAGAAGGAACAGCAGGATCTCCTCCCACCACAAAATCTTTGGAAAAGCTGAGCCCATAATGGATTTTTTGGGCAAAAAAACCCAGCACATTTTGAATCCAAACTTTTTTGGGGAAAATCTCCAATCCTAACTGTGTCACACTGGGTCAGTCTGAACCATCCCGAGGGCTTCATTTGGTTTTCCCGAATTATTGAACTCTTTTGTTCCTTAATTTGGGTCAAATTGGGAATAAACCAATGCTTTTGGGAACAAAAGGTTTTGCTTGGGAAATGTCAAATGTTTTACCAAGTCTGCAGTGAAATGTTTTGACATTCCCACAAAAAAGAAAGGGAAAATCTGTGCTTTCCCTGAGCTGGAATCAATAGCTGAATTTGACCCTGAAGTGTGAAGAGTTTATTTTTGCAATTCTATTTTTTAATGGATTTCCTTTCATTGGTAAATGAAAAAATATCCAAAGCCTAAGTGTAATTCTGTTCCAAAATCCATGCATGATTCCAGGTGGGATTTCACCAGAATTCCCACTCCCCTGCTGCAGGATCAGCCTGGGTTGGGAGATTCCTGGGCAGCCAAAAAAAAGGAGGGGAGGAAAGCCTCATTGGTGACATATTTCAATCTTTATTTCTGTCTCCCTGAATTTTCTCCTGTGCTTGACAAATGGACAGAGATTCTGGGATGAAAGAGAAGGACAGAGGGAGAGAAGGAAAAACTAGGAGAGCGTTAAGGATAACAAATGGAATAAATCTCAGGAAATAATCAAAGGGAATGTCCATTGCTCCAGATGCCAGAATGTTTGGCAAATCCCATGGGAAAAGAAAGGTATCGTGGACAAAGTTGCCTTCTCTGGGGTGCTGGGGCTTCCCAAGCTACAGAGATGGATTTGGGGCTGGAAAATCCTGCATGCCCAGAAAGCCAGGATACAATTCCTGGTGATTTGGGATATAATCCTGTACCCCACTGTTTTGCCAGGTACGGCACTGCAAGTGGGACTGAAGATGATGATGGGTGTTTTCCTCCCCAAAAAACCCTGATTAAGTGATATTCTCTGGAAAACCCTGCTATGGAGTAGCAGCCCCCATTCCCAACTATCCCAATTTCCCCAGCAAAGCCAGGTGTGTTAACTGGATTTTTCCAAAACTTCATTTTTCCCAACCATGACATCATTTCCTGACTGCTTTCAGCAGACAGATCCAACAAATGTTTCCTATTTTTTCTCGGGACTCAATCCCGAGATGGGCTCTGGCCTTGGCAGGAATTGAAATTTATGGCATTTAGGGATATTTATTTTCATTTCCAAGGAAAGGCCAAGATGTACATTTTTCATCCTGCTTTTTTTTTCCCACTTCGTGCGCCACTTTTCCCTGCTGTAGGAATTATGAGATGTCTGCTTCCAGAGCCAAGTGAAAAAGGGAAAAAAAATATCCCTGTATTTTTCAGGGGGAAATGTGTACAATTAATATCAGTTTACATATCTGGCATAACATCAAACATCTGCATCCCGGGGATTCCTCAGGACATAAATCCTGGAAGGGCCATAAAAATTGTTCAAGGACCTTGTAACAGCCTTTATTAAGGAATAGTATCCAATATTAAAGATTTGTGGGAATAAGAGCTGTGGAAGCACTGCTGGTGTTTCCTTCACCCAGGAAACAAATTTTCCTGATAGAAACTAAAAAGGTAGAGCAGATGCTTGGCCAGTTCCAATAAAGAGTGGCTACTCCAGTTTATCCAAGCTCTGGAAGAGCTGCTGGCGAAGAGATGTTCAAGCAGGGCTGAAAACTCTGGGATGAAAAACCAAGAGGTGATTTTTAATCCCAGAGAAAACACCTGGACATGTTCCAGGCCAGGCTGGATGGGGCTTGGAGCAACCTGTGGATAGTGGAAGGTGGAACTGGATGGGATTTAAGGACCTTTCCAACCCCAACCTTCCTGGAATTTCAACAACTCCGCATTGGGAATTCCCATCTCCAGCCAAGGAATTTCCCTTCCCAGCCCCTCCAATCCTGGGCTGACTCTCCTCTAATCCCCTCTCAATTCCTGGGGCTCCAGGCTGTCAAATCCAGATCTTACCTTCCCAGGGAAAATGATTGGAAGTGCTCTCAGCAATCCTCCTGTTTTCCAAAGGGTTTATTTCCCTCTTTCCTCCCTTCCCTCACTGGCTCCCTGAAAGAAGAGGGTAGGAATTTTAGTGCCAATAAAGTTTTACATCCTTTCCCTAATATTTGCTTTTTTACATGGAATTTGTTTTCCAGCTGTGGAGTACCTGACCCTGCAGGGGTGTAAAGGATTTATTGGCAAATATTTGGGATGGAGGAAGAAATTACCCCTTTTGTCTCCTTGTAAAAGTTTTAATAAAATCGAATTATGGAGCATTTAGAGGGAAATTAATCTTTAATTTTACTGGAATACCGGAATATTGCCAAGCTGGCTCAGCATCTCCAGGAATCAAGGACCATGCAGAGGAATTAATGGATTTAGCCAGGCAGGATTCCTGAATTTCCCACTGTCCAGGGGGATGGGAATGCCAGCCCCATCCTGAGCAGGAGCCAGGAAAACCTGGGATGGAGACTGGGATCTTGCAGGGAAAACTCCTGCATCTCCTCCCCTTCCCATTTTCTATGTGCCAGCTATACACAGATCAGCATTCCCAGGAGTTGTGCTCCAGATATCTCTTGCTCCCTGATCTCTCTCATGGTCCTGGTGGAAGACCAGCATCTCCCAAGGTGATCTCAACTGCCCTATGGAATCACCTTTCTTTCCCAAATATTTCAGGCTGATTCAAAGCCAGGTGAGATTCAGATAATTGTGGGAGTGAGGAGCTGGAATTTCAGCCCTGTGCAGGAAGAGGTGGATAGCAGAGGGGATGGATCATGGGGAGTAAATCCACCCAGACAGGGAGATTTTATTCCTGTTTCAGAAGATCTTTAACAGAGAATTCAGTGATTGCAATTCAGGATTGCAATTCAGGAATTGCGAGGAAGTTCAGCTGCGCAGACAGTGTTGAGAGGAGGTACAAGTTATCCCGGAGAAAGGATCTTCCAGCCAGGAGAGGAGACAGAATTTCTGCCAACAACCAAATGGCAGGGATGGAGAAGATCCAGTGGCAGCTCCAGACAGGTAGAGACAGGATCATGGAATCATGGAATGGGTTGTACTTAAAGCCTATCTCATCCCAGTCCCTGCCATGCCAAGATATTCCCACCATCCCATGGTTTTGGACAGCAGGAATTGGGAGTAACCCCTGCCAAGAACTGCCTGTGGGTGCTCCGTCCTTCCAGCCAAAATTGTCTCAGCCATGAAAAAGGGACAAGTTGGATCTGCCTCCTGTTTCCAATCAAAGCCTGTTTTGGTTTGGGAAATCCCGGCAAAAGCCATTCCTTATTTATGGACTGCAAACAACTCGCCTGTGTTATGATCCCAAAGTCATTAGGCATCACATTCGATATTCAGATGGATTAATTCCATATATTCCATGTATTCCATAAAAACCAGGGGGGTAGCAAAGGGGCCTGACTCCAGGCTGCCTTCAAAGATATTGGCTGCAGATAATCCAAGCTTTTTTTGATTAAAACAGAGGAGAATTTGAATAGGAATGCATTGTTTGGAATCCATTTCCATCGGGCTCCGGAAGAATTCCCGCTCGGAGATAGATGTGGTTCCACTTAACAGGCGAGGGATTAAAAAAAGGCCTGGGTTTGGGCCTAATTCCCGTCATTATGTATTTTTGGGAATATAAATAGATTCAGTGTAATGGGGCTGATTGGAAAATGACCTGTTTAGGATGAGAAAAGGAAAGGGGCTGTTGGAAAACTGTTGGGATTCCATGGGATGCTGAGGGGCTGCCTCAATGTAAACTCTGATTGGAAAATTGTGGCTTTTCGCAGGCCGGTGTTTGATCCATTAAAAGTGGATTGGTTTCATTGCCCATGTTTTCCTTGCACTGGAATAGCATGAAATAAGCATGTGTCGGGCATTACTTGGGATAAACATGTGAAGAAGGGAACAGGGGAGGGGAGCAGTGGCTCTAATTGGGAAAAGAAGACAGAATAACCCAAAGTGATTCCACGTCACACTGGTTGCACTGGGAGGAGGATCCAGCCCCTGGAATGCGGAGATGGAAAATCTTGGCTTTATGAGCCATCCCATCCAAGGATTGCTCCACAGGGACCAGGCGGAATGGCTTTGTCTGGCCCACATTTGCATTATCCCGGGGTAGGGATCCTCCAGCTTCCCTCGGAGGACTTTTCCACATTCTAATTGTTCGGAAATTGTTCATAAAATTAAGGAGCTTGGAAGTGAAAGAGGGAAGCCAGGCGGAGGCGCTCCATAGAAAGAGCCGCGGCCATATGGAAAGAGTTAGGCCAGGAAGGCAGCGGGAAGGCAGCAAGGAGCACAAATGAGTTCAAGAGACATCCCAATTTATTTCTGGAGAAGGGAAAGGCACTGGGAGCCTGGAGAGAAGCAGGAACTGGCTTTCACAGGGACTTAAGAAAGGCAGGAGAGCTTGGAGCGAGGATGTTTACAGGGAGAGCACTTGGAGAATGTTTTTTCAAGGATTGACTGGTTTTATTGACTTCTGTAGTGTGGGACAACACCTGAATTCCAGGGAAAATTTAGCTGGAAAAATGCTTTACCCACCGGGAGCATTGCTTTTATCCTGCTCCTACCCCACCCTTATCCAGCACTGTCCCAGGCATGGGCAGAAGTCCTGGGAATTCCCAGTTCATCACAAAAACCTTTACACTGAGGACTGGGACACCTCTAGCCATTCCCAGTGTCCAGAAGACCACTTCCGATGTGGTGGGAACTTTCAAAGAAATCCCTGCCACTCTCCCTCCCTAGAGAACAGTGGCACTAGGAAAGGGTTGCAGAAAAGGGGATGGAGATTTCCCAAAATCCATGGATTGTGTCCAGCTTTCCTCAGGGACCTGAGATGGCTCTGTGGGGGCATCTGGTGGCCAAAAGATTCCCGGGGATTCACCTGGGAGCAGCTTCTCCCTTTGCCATTCCCAACAAGATTTGGGAATCCTGAAGGATTGAGTGGGAATATCACCTCTTCCTTTTTCACAAGATATGCAGAATTCCAGCACCTGGGAAGAGATTTATCCTGACCTCAGGAGAAGGCAATGCTGGATAACCATGCCTGGAATGAGGAAGGGCTGGAATGATTAAAGGAAAACATATAAAGGCGATCATAGCATCTCCTGAAAATTGGGATATGTTGGAGCTGGATTAAAGTGGGAGCTGATGCTGCTTTAGGCGCTTCCCAGATTCCAGACTCATTCCCAAATTGGCCCATTCCCAGCTAGACTCCCCACAAAGTGGAGTAACAGGATTTTCAGCCCTTCCAGGTGAATTTGAGTGAATTCCGCTCCCTCTGAAATTTGCCCGCGATCTCCTTGGAAGGAATCCCAAAAAAACTGAACAATGACACCTTAAGCTTTAAAATCCTTGGAGTGATTTCCTCCCAAGCCTTTCTCCAAACAGCTTAACCTCGAATTGGAAATGGGAGCTAATGTTTACTCAGGTAAATAAAGCATTTTTCATGGATCTCCCAGCAAACAGATTAAAGGATTACGCTAAAGACCTTTCCAAATTTTCCTATCAGAGTCCCGGAATCTGTATTTGATCCCGAACTCACTGCCAGGCAGGAAGGGAATTTTTTTCCCATCAAGTGCATCCTAAAAAACAAGATTTGAGAGGATTTTTTTTTTTTCCTTATTTTCCCTGCTCCCCCTTTACACAGCATTCAGAGCACAAATGGGACCCAGCCATGAAGAATTCCCGTTAAAATTCCCAGTCTGGGAAGAATTTATTTGATTTCTAATAATAAATAGAACATCAATAAAGCAGAGGAATAAATTTCCCTCCTTGTCAGGGGCGTTTTGGCACTTGGTAATTTGGGTCCATAAATGGCTTTCCAAATGATTAATGGTATGTGGACGTGGAGAAATATTCCTTGGATTTCCAGCAGCCAGGATATTGATGTTGTGGTGTTTGAAAGGCTCTATCCCAACGCAGGATTGTTTCATTTATAACCCCTCCAGACAGAAATGAAGGGGCTTTGGTGTAAAATATTCCTTAAATGCTCTCCTGGATGGAAAAGCAGCATTTCCCCCTCATTTCTGGCTGCAGAATTCCTCCCTGGAGTGGTTGGACTGGTGGTTTCTGGAATGGGCAGAGCAGGAGTCTGGGTATCAGTGGCTTAGTTTATCCCAGTATTTTCACTGGAATTTTCACCATTCCAAATAACTTTGGCTTCCTTTGGAGTAAAGGGAGATTCCAAACAGCCAGATTCAGCTCTTGGACTATGGAGCCATGGCTGCCTCAAGGCCAGGTTGGATGGGGCTTGGAGAGTGAGTGAAGGGTGGATGGAATTTAAAGGTTTTCCATTAAAATTTCCTCCCTTTTCTTGGGTAAAAATATCCCAATCCCAAACATCTTCCAAAGAAATTGTTATCCTTTAAAATAGATTTTTTAAATAAAAAAAAAAAAAAAAAAAAAAAAAAAAAAAAAAAGCTTTGGAGTGAAAAACCTAAAACCTGCCCTGAAAATAATCAGCTTTTAAGAGGCATTGGAAGCAGTCCCTAAATCCATGGGAGACAGGATTTTTATTGGAATTTGGATAAAAAGATGGAATGGTTTTTAATCTACGGGAGGTTAAAGTCACCATCTGAAGTTGGTTTGGTTTTTTTTTTTTCCATATCCCAGGGTTTTTTTTCCCTCTTTAAACAGATCCTGCTCATTTAAAAATTCATAAATAAGGGAAGGTCGTCAGAGTCCACTCCATAAAATATTTGGGTCACCTTCCAGGGAGCTGCTGGAGCCTTTTCCAGGGTTTTTGGGGCAATATTTTACAGGCCTGTCAGCTTTATTATGGAATGATGGCCACTGGAATTTCTTCATCCATAAATTCCCCTCACCATGGACATTTTCACCTTCATTAGGAGAAGAAGAAGGAACCACAGAGGCTTTTGATGAACTGAGGCTGAAGGGGGTAAATTCAATGGGTCCAGGTTTGGGATGGTTTGATCCCAGATATTCCATGCTGGAGAAGCTCAAAGTGTGTGGAAATTTATTGGCTGAGTATTCCAGAGATTTTAGGCTGGACTTAAGGCCTGGGGCAGGTCAGGGCTGGGAAGTGCCAGGAAAATGAGGGGAGTCACTCCAATTTACAATCCTGGGATAATATTCCAAACGGTCATATATCCATGCTCATATATCCATATATCCATGGATTTAGGATCATATTTTGGCATCTTGGGTCACAATGCTGTATTTAAGACTCTGACAGTAAATAGGAAAAGGAAACTTCCAAATCCACAGAATCGTCCCTAAAATCCAACACCATCAGGCAGTGAAGAGCTCCCAGATATAAAGCAGGATATCTTGGAGAAGCTGGAATTCCATGGATTATTTTAATTTGCCGTGTCAACAATAAAGTGACCACCTGTGTTCTGGCTGTGCTCCTGTTTGGCCAGAATCCCACAGTCTGGAGAATCCAGTCCAGTGCCCTTTTAAATTTATTTTAAGCCCATCATTCCAGATTTTTAAGATAATTTGGAGAAAGTCAGGAGGGGAAGCCTCTGGCAGAAGATGAAAAGCTGGAGGCAGGATGGAAGAGGAGTTGTTATTGCTGGAAAACCAAGGAAAACAAACAATGAAATTTCCACAAAAATAAGTGATGACATTTGCATCCATCACTGGGAATTTGGCCATGGAATGTGTGGCTCTGCTCCAGCCTGGAGCGTGCTTGGGAAGGATGGAGTCCAGGATTGGGAAGGATGGAATCCATGGCTCAGAAAGGATGGAATCTGTATTCTTGGGAAGAATGAAGACACCTTGGAAGGACCAGGAGGGAAAAGGCTGAGATCCAAATCCCTATCCTGCTCCATGGAAGGAATGAGCCCGGGTTAAACCTCCAGTGATGTGAGTGGTGGATGCAGAAATCCCTGGAATAGTTCCAGGACAGGCTGGATAGGGCTTGGAGCAACCTGGGAGAGTGGATGCATTCCTGCTTCCATGGACATGGAATGGGATGGTCCTGAGGGTCCCTTCCAACCCAATCCCAGTGTTTCATGGATGATGGAGAGGGATTAATCCCTAAGGAATGGGGCTTTGAGCTGGGATACATCCAGCCACTTGTTGCTAATTCCTTCCACTGGCTATGGAGAGAGGAATTCCCAGGAAGGGGTTCTGTGGTGGGGCTGGATGAGGAGACCTCTCCACATCCTTTCTAGTCCAATTTGTCAGGGATGCCTCCCGCACAGAGAGCCAACCTTCCGGAATGTTTGGATAACTCTGCAATTCGCTGCCTTGGCATCCGTTCCCAACCTAAACACCGACAGCTGGATCCCATTTCTCTGGGCTGGGAAGAGGAGAGCAAGGTCGGAAGATAGATGGACGTGAAAGCTGGGATGAAATGAGTCATTGGAATCGACTGAGAATCGGCCAGAGCTGAATTAAAGTCACTTAAAGATGATTTAAAGCAACCTCGAGAATACTTCTGATTTAAGGCCCTGCTTCTGGAGCAGGCGGGATGAGGGACTGGATTCATCAAAGCTGAGCCTTCCAGTCACAAGTCATGGATTTGCAAAGGCACAAGGAAAACTCTGGCACATTTGTAACCACCCACCCCAGTCCAGGCTGTTCCAATGATCCTGAGGGCCAGATGGGACCACTGGACCATTCCAGCACTCTGGGGGAAAAATATCCTATTTATTGCCCAGTTTTCCCACTCTTCCTGAAGTTTTCATGCTCCTGTGGATCCTTCAACTCCTGCTTAAGCTGAAGCTCCAAATACCCCAAATACCACTGTCTACAAATGGAAAGGTAGGATTTTCCATTCTAATTACCTTGGAAAACCTATCTCTTTTATTCAGGGGATCACCAAACCACTGGGATTTTGCCCAGTCAGACTGGAATACTTGGGTAACATCCAGAGGCAAGGGATACCTTCGGATATCGCACATCCCAGGGAGATGCCATTCCAAAGGGAAAAGACCCAGGGATGAAGTGCTGGGAGAGGGAAGGGAATTTAACTTTCTGAGGGGTTATACATTTTTAGGTGTTTAATTTTTTGAGAGTAACATTTGGGTTGTTTTGGAACAGGTTCCCAGAGAAGTTGTGGATGCCCCATCCCTGGGAGTGTCCATGGCCAGGTTGGACAGGGCTTGGAACAACCTGGGATAGAGAAATGTGTCAGGTTGGAATGGGATGAGATTTAAGATGCCTTCCCAAACCAGTCTGGAATTCCATGATTCAAATCCTCCAGTTTTCCACGAAATCCCTAGATTCCTGGGGGAACTCCCCCCCATCCTACACCCAGAGCCCCCCACCCAGAGCCTCACACTCTGGAAATCCACTTCCATGCACTGCTCATTCCCAAAAACCTTCTCCATGTTTCCAGGCACTGTCTACCTTGGGATCAGCCCTGGGGCCATGTGTTTGGAATATTTCATCACTCCAGCACAGCTGAAAGCACTCGGTGTTCCCTAGGATTGTCCTTGGAATTGCAGTATGGGAGGGAATGGTTGCTTGGAGGGAAAGGGGTCCCACTGCCTGGTTTTAGACTTTGGATGCATTTTGGAAAGATGCTTCACTGTTTTCTGGGATAACTCATCTCCATGGCTGGTTGGATTTGAGCATCCTTCTGGTGTCAGGTACCTGACATTCCCAGAATGGTAATTCTTGGGAATGTCGCCTTTCCATGGCTCCAGTCTACATGACTGTTCCCTTGGATGACTTCCTGAAATCCTGGGATGTATTGCATCTTATTTTCCTATTTTGTTCTATTTTGACTCCTTGTCCAGCTACCAAATAAATTGAAAGAATATTCTCAGGTCTCATCTCAACCCATAAGGAATCCCATCCCTCATTCCCTCATCCCTGTGATGTCCAGCGTCCCACAGTCCACCCCCCTGGCCATTCTCCAAAGTGAGTGCCATCCCAAAGGGAATTCACCCCCTCCCAACAATAGATTTAAACTTCCAGAGCAGCAAATCCCTCTTCTTTTCCCTGTTTTCCACTGCCCCTCCAGGAATATTCAAAATCCCATTCAAAGCTATCAGGAAAGTGAACATTTCTGGTGGGATGGAAATGCTGCTCCCATGCCAGGCAGCTCCTGATTCCCTAGATACCTTGGGAAGGTTCATTAAGTCATCTCTGCTTTCGTCTCATCCCTGTGTCTGTCGCCTGGAAAAGAGCAGGGAAAAATCTGTTCCCTTTCCAGACCACACAAGTGCAAAAGGGGCTGGAAAACAACTCCCTCTGCCCTCTGTTTCCATTTTAACAGCTCTCCAAGGAAAAAAGGTCAGCAGTTCATGGATGGCAGGAAAGACCTACTGGGGACTTGGCTTATCCCAAACAGTCACTGCCCCATTCCCAACTTATAACAACCTCCAACAGGTTGAGCTTTCCCCCCTCGGAGCTGGATGAGTTTTCCACCTGGGATGTATTTTTAGTGCCTGGAACTGTCCTCTCCTCACTCCCAACATGTGTCGGGAGCTGCTCTGCGCTCCCAGATCCCAATAATTATTTTAGCGGCTGTTGGGGAGCATCGGGAAACGTTGTTGGTCCAGCCCAAATTGATCCTGGTCAATCAAACGCCTGGAATAAGCTGTGGGTAAATCCATGATTTCATCACCTCCAGCCTGCCGACCCCCAGGAATGGGAGTGATCTCACTCCACGTGTTGATGTGTCCCAGGAATAAATGAGCTCCCGGGCCGTGCCTCTGGAATAAACTAAAACAATCAGAATGTGCAGGAAGGAAAACACTGCCCGTGGTGAGCTCCGCTCCCCCGAACCCACAGCTCGGCTGCTCCTGCCATAAATTATCCCTAATAAATCTCCTTCGATGTTAAATGCCATCGCTCTGCTGCCAGAATGGGAGATTCAGGAACGGGCTGGATGAGGGGCTGAAATTCCTTGGGAATGTGGAAGCCTTTTTTTGTTTTCCTTCCAAGTCTTAAATATCCCCAGGTTATCCTTCAAGCAGATGTCCAGGGAAAGGCTCCTGACCCATTTAAACTTTTTTTTTTTTTTTTTTTTTGTGGGAATGAAGTCCAGTTTCGGGCTGGATTTGCTGGCCAACACCTGACAAAACTCGGGAATGGGAACACAGAGCTTTAATGGCTCCGGGGTGTGACTTTTAACGGCAAGGCCGAGGAAACAAAGATAAATTAAAGTCTAATTGGGGCCATTAACGGCTTTCCCAGCCCGCACATCTGGAGCCCAGGAGAATCCTTGGAAAAATGTTACAGTCGGCTCCTGTTGCACAGCCTGACCACCTCCAGACTTGTTCCACATTTTTTTAGGGATAAAAATCCATCTTTCAGTGTCCAAAGCCAACACAAGGAGGGAGATTTTGATTTTAATCCCTGCAGTTTTATAAAAATTATCCTAAATCTACCCAAATTCCACCTTCCCAAACTTCCAAGCTGCCCCAGCAAGGAAAGGCCACATTAAGACACTGCCCACTCCCATGAGGCTGGGAATCTATGGAAGTAAAATTCCAATAAATGCAATGTTTTCTACAATAAAATCCCAATGCCTGGAAACCCAATGGATTAAAACTCCTGTGTTATATCTAGGAATAGAAACATACCTCTTTTCAAGCCAGTCATGGATCCAGTCTAGAATTATCCGGTGGAATTGCTGCAGAATTTTGGGATACTGCTGCCAAACTATCCATAACCTCGGATACACCCCTCCAAGTTGGATTCTTGGCACAGGTGGATGAGAACAGCCCAGATCCTTAAGATTTCAAGGGAAAAGCTGAGCCTTTGTGGATGGCAAATGGGAATAAAAATCCAGGAAAGGAATTAAAGTCAGGAAAAATCACCTTTCAAATCCTCCCCAGACGTCTTAATTAATTAATTAATTAATTAATCAGTCAATATTCTTGCATCCTATTTATTCTCCAGTGATTTTGAGGAGCCACAGCAAATAAATCCAGGGAAATATCTGGTTATAGGGAAACAAAAGAGGGCAGCAAAGGATAAAAGAGGGCATCTCTGACACTTTCCCAGAGTGGGAAAATTTAGGAACATTTAGGTCAGAAAATGGAGTTTAGGATAAAGTTTGGGATAAGCCCAGGAGATTTGTTCCTTATGATTTGGTCCTTGCAATTTGCTCCTCCAAAATGAATTATTGGAAAAGGGAAAAAATTTCTCCATCCTCTCTTATCTCCTCCAGCTCCAAGGACAAAAACTGGATCCTTCCACCTTCCCTAAATTTTGCAGAGCTTCCAGAGCCACTGAAAAGCCCAGCCTGAGGTTTTCCAGTTCTGCAATCCATGATTCCTAACAAAAACACTGGAGAAAACCATGGATTTTCTTATTTCTCTCCTCACATTCCTGTCAGGTTTGGGAATGTTCTGTACTTTTGGGATCAGGTCCAGATCAGTTGTGCTGAAATAGGGATTCATCCTAAAATGTGGGTATGGGGAGGAGCAATCCATTATTCTCCCTCCACATGCCATGGGAATTCTCCCCAGCAAACCCAGGCACATCCCAGCTGCTGATAATCTGGGAAGGGCTCCAGACTCCACTCCCTCATCCCACAGAATTTCTGGCTGGCTCCTTTTGGGGTTAAGGATTGTTGGTTTAGCCCTGACAACCCCAAGATTTCCAAAAGCATTGGCTGTGTCCAAGGAAAACACAAGGCAAACTTGAAATTCAGGCAAACACTAAAAATAGCAAATCCTTGACTCTTCTCACTTCTCTTCCAATTTTTACTGGGATTCTCTCAAAGTTTTTCCCTACAGTGCTACTTCCCAGGTGTTTGATGTTGTTAAAACCAGCCTTGGTAAAAACGTGACCCAAAATGCAGGGATTTGACCCAAAATCCAGGGATATAGACCAAAACTCACCCAAGGAGTTTACTAAGGTGGCCAAAGCTGGGATTGCAACATTCCCAGGAATACTCTGGCATGGGAAAGGGTTGGATTTGTAGGATCAGTGTTTGCATTGGTCTGGGTAATCCAAATTTCCCTGGACCAGCATCCCAAGAGTCAGGGATGCTGCAGACATCCCCATAGAGTATCACGACAATTCCCTGTGTCCCTCCCCCACAGAACCTCATGGATGGACCCAGCAAATGGGGATCAGTTCCCAGCTCCTGTATGACTCAGGAACATCCATCCCTGTCAGCATTCCAGGTTTCTCCACCTGCACCTTTTGATGGAATGTGAGGCTTTGAAACAGGCACTGGGACACATCCTGTGCATCCTAAAAAAAATAGGATGGAAGGAATGTGGGAATGAGATATTCTTTGGCTCTGCACTCCCACCTTCCCTCTAAACAACACCTGCTTCCCAGAAAAACACAAATCCCTTGGCATGTGTGTGTTGGGGATGGATATCCATCACCGTGCTCCCAGGAGCCAGGCAAAAGCTTCGGCATTCTTCGGCACTGGCATTCCACAGGTGTGCTTCCCTGGTTCCATCCCACACTGGTGAATCAGGGCTGTCTTTCCAGTCACATGGAAAAGAGCTTTTGAAGAGGCAGCAAATGCCAGCCAGAGTCTGGGAAGTGGAATGCTGGAGGGAAAACTTGGAAGGGACCTCTCATTAAAGATCCTCTCATTCCAAGCCCTGCCATGGGCAGGGTCACATGCCACCATCCCAAATCTTTCCAAGCCCTGTTCCACCTGGAATTGGACACTTCCAGGGATGAGGCATCCATAGCTTTTCCAGGGCCTCCCCACCCTCACAGGGAAAAATTCCTCCCCAATATCCAATTTATTAGAACTAATTAATATTTAATTCCAGCTATGGAAAACCTCAGACCTTCCCCTCCTCCTCAATGCATCCATTGGTGCTCCCAAATTTTTATGGACAGTAGCCAGGCAAAGGGATCTTCCTGGAATCCTGGGAAACCTCTCCATCAAGGAAAGATCAAAGGCTCAATTTCCCCCCGGATATTTGGCTCCACGTGCCGGAGGCGGGCGAGGACGGATTTACAAGGAAAAGGATGAACTCCAGCCAATGCATTAATGCAGCACTCAATTCCAATGAAATCCCAGAGTAGGAACTGACACGTTTGGGAAAATACATTTGGGATGGACTGGAGAAATTTTAGCTGCCAGAAGGAACAACCTGGGAAAACAACAAGAATTTTGGGAATAGATCCAAATAAGTTTAGGATGAGTAAATTTTTGAGCTGTTCCTTGGGAATTTTTATCTGCTCCCAAAGATTTTAGGGAATTCTGGGCTCTTTCCCCCATTTTGCCTGTGTTTTAATTTAAGGGGATCCATCTGGAATGGTGTCCCTTGACCTCAGCATGGCCCAAGGCTAAGCACAGCCCATTTTCCACCAGAAATGCAATTTTCAAGGAAAATCCAATTTATTTCCATCCAGATGTTTTATCTTCATTTTCCTTTGGGCAATTCCCTTTTTGGTCATAAAAATTCCAGGAAAATCCAATGAAACCATGCTGAATTTGTTCCCAACTCCTAAGTTTTGTAGCAGACACATCCCAAACTTTTTTTCTTTTTAAGGCACTGGAATTATTTTGTCTTTAAATTCCTTTAAAAAAATCCAAAAACTTCGCAAAATCTGGGTTTTAATCCATCCTTTCCAGGGATTCAGAAAGGATCAAAGGATGCATGGAAGGCCCATCCCTGGAATGTTCCAGGACAGGTTGGAGAAACCTGGCATAGCAGAAGGCATCCCTGCCTTGAGATCCTAAGGAATCCCTACTTTAAGATCCCTTCCAACCCAAACCATTCCACGATCCCAAGGTTTTCCCAACTCCTCCATCATTCCTGAGGTAAAATAATAGCCTCCAGGTAGACACAGAATTCCTAATGGATTCAGCATCACCATTCCCACCCCTGCTGTCCATTGTGGCTCTCTCCTCCATTCCCAACAATGGCATTTCCTAGGTTTCCAGGAATCTCCAGGAATCACCAGTTGGGAATCATTGGGAGAGATGATCCCAAGGAATCATCCTATATCCCCAAACTCTGTCTGCCCTCTGGTTTTCCACAAAAATCCCCAAGCCCTGGAAAATCCATTTTCTGGGATATGTGCAGTTTTCCAGCAGGCGTTCCAGAACCCACCTGGATTCCAACTTCCATTGGAGGAACAGTAGGGATTCAACAAAGAAAAGTTCCACTGACCTGGAAGCAGGGAGGCAGAGCTTGGATTCAGGAGTGGTTTTTAGCAGGAATGCTCAAAAAAATCCCAAATCCCGGAATCCAGAAGGCATCCACCCTCCTCCCTCCCAGCTTCTCATCCCAAATTCAGCTTTTTCCATCCTTTATGGAGTTAGGGAGAGCTTTGTCCATTGGGAGCATTTCTGGAGCAGCTGAACATTTTGGCTTCCCACCGGTTTTTGTGAAAACTGGGAGAAGGAGGAAAACCAAGGGCTTGGCACGGACACAACCCTGTGAATGCTGGGACCTGGGAGATTTGGGTTGATTTACACCCTGCCAGGACCCATTCCAGCTCTGAGAGATCCAGGAGGAACCGTAAATCACAGAAAAGCTGGGCACAGCCACCCTCTGAAGTCTGGCACCTGAGAATTCCAAAGGCAGCAAAAACTCCAATTTCCCATTCCCATGCCAGGAGCTTGGAGCTGCTCCTGGAGTCGATATAAATCAGTTTTCCCTGCCCTTCTCCAGACAAAATTCCAGCTGCTCGGTTGTTTGGATTTGCAGTCCCCCTCCTTCTCCTTATTTTTCCAGCCGAGGTGCCTGGAATGAAAAACAAAGCCCAATGCGCCATGATGGATCTTCCAGGTGTTGCTGCCAGGCAAAGGAAAAATCCTGGGAATAAGTCCCCTTAGATTGCTGGACCAGGGGGCAGGGCAATCCCAGATTTTGCTACAAAGCAGGGAGAAGCCCTTCCAAAATAAATCTGTGATGCATGCATCCCTCATCCCATTTCCTTTAGCGTGGGTGAATCTCAAATCCCAAAAGTTCCACAGAACTAAATCCACACCAAGGAAACAGGGAAATGGGATAACCTGGATTCTCCTATGATGATTTTGACTCTCTGGATTAAATACACCTGGGTGCTAAAATTTGGGGAAAGGGAATTTAGTTTTCCGATGTATATTCCTGTCCCCAGCTGATGGATGCAACACCATTCCCTGTCCAGTATCCCTCATCATTCCCAGTTAGGAAAAACAAAATGGCTGTGAGCTCAGTTTTTTGGGTAAAGAGAATATTTACACCTGCATAAATATGGGAATAACAGCTGAAAACAGGAAATTCCAGCTTTTAATGTTTTTAAGTGAGATCCAACAATTCCAGAAGGGAATCAAACAGCTTCGGAATAAAGGTGGATCCCAAAGGGGGGATTTAGGAATGTGGTGAATATCTGGAAAAGGGGGAAAATCACACCAAATCCCAGTTTGGGGTAGTCATTCCATCCCAAAATAAACCCCATTCCCCTCTTTTCCAGACTCCAGAATCCTAGAAACCTGGGGGAGCTTGGGATAAATCTGTCGTAGCCAAGCAGGAAGGGAAGGAATTCCTTTTCCTCCCCCAAAAAGGGAAAACTTTGGCTCAGGGAAATGCGAAATAAAACCAGAAATTTTTTGGCATTAACTGCAGCATTCCTCCTTTTCCCACTCCATTTTCTTTCAATTCCAACAGCAGCAGTAGAAATCCCCATTGCACGTCAGGAGCATCCAAATTGGAAATCATTACCCAAGATTTTGGGAACACTGGGTGAGGGGAAGGAAAAGCTGCCACAGCTTGTCTAGATGGGGATTTTGGGATGAGTTCTGCATTCTCATGATTTTCCACAATTTCCTCTGGTCTCCGTTTAAAAGAGGAGGGAGGGGTCCAGAGGCACAGGGAATGGCGAATCAGAATGACAAATCCAGAATGGCAAATCCAGAGTGGCCACGAAGAGGAGGCGTTTGGGAGCTGCAGAATATCTTTCCTTATATATCCCAAATTCTGGGATCCTGATCCTTAAATTCTGGCACTCCAAGGGGATGGAATGAGGGTTTCCAGGACAGCCAGAATCCCAATACTGGCATTATCCTATGGCTGGGATGAACATCCAGATTCAGGATTTTGGGGCTCCTTTGGATGATCAAGCAGAGACCACTTGGTTATTCCCAGAATTTGTCCCCTAAATCCTCGAACACCCCCAGGGATGAGGACTCCAAACCCATTCCAATGCTTTTTCCTATCCCTCTGCTCCAGGATGGAAATAATGCCCAAGATTTTATTTCACTGTGATCCCAAAGCTTGGCTGAGCTTTTCCTTGGCTTTTTTCCTGGTGGTTTTTTTTTTGGGTTTTTTTTTTTCAATCCAACCAGCTGAAAAACCCAGAGTGAAATAAATAACATTCCAAGGCCATCCATCGGCCACGAATGAGCATGGGGCTGCTCCCTGGAACTCCCATTCCTGCCGGTGGCCAAGGGAAATCAGCGCTTCCCATCAATCCCAAAATCCATTTTTCAGTTTTAATGAAGACGTCGTTTTCATGGAAGCGGAGGGAACATAAACAATTCGAGCCACAAAAAATGAGGAATGAACTGCCTGGAAAACCTGGAGCTCATTTGGACTTCAGTTTCTCAGGGCTGGAGGCTCCTGAGTTTTTTTGGCTGTGGTTGGACATTGAGAAGGCAAAAAACTAAGCAATTTTTAGAAATTAGCTTAGCTTTGAATGAGCTCCAGAAGAATTGGTTCTGTCTCACTGGAGTCAGGAATTAACTGTCTGAGTGGGCAGAGGGCACAGGCACACATGGAATTCCTTAAAAAGGGAGGCACAAAACTAGAATTAGGGAATTGTTTAGGTGGGAAATACCTTCTGGGATCAGAGCCCAGCCTGTGCCCAATTCCCAGATCCACACATTCTTTGGGCATCTCCAGGGATAGGGATCCATCCCATTCCAGTGCTTTACCACCATTCCCATAAAAAAAATTCTCCTGAATTCAACCCGACCCTCCCCTGGCACAGTCTGAGGTGTTTTCCTCTCACATGGAAACAGAGAGACCCTATGGATCTGTTCCTGGAGGTATGGAAAACACTCCAAGGGGAACCATTCCAAGCTTTTCCTCTCTTCCAGCTGAGGAGCTGAGAATCAATGGGATCCAGGCTTGGGAAACCATTTCCACTGCGCTGCAGTAGCACAACCCTAAAATTCCATCATTCCCTGGAAAAAATCCCCAAATAATGTAAAACATGGAAGCAAAGTTGTCCTGAGATTTCTTGGAAAAAGGATTCACCATTCCAAGAATTCCCTGTTTATTACCTTCACCAAATCCTCAAAGGATTAATGGAAAGGTCACAAACAAATTCACACCTGTTTTAAGAGGAATTTTGGGGTTTGGAATTTTTGGAGTCACACCAAATTCCTCCATGGAAAAATGAGAATGTGGTTGCCAAAAGGTTTTCCTATGCCATTACCACCAGCTTGAACTGTAGCCAGAAAAAAATAAGGACAAAATATAAGTGGGATACTTAAAAGTCACTAAATTTAGATCAGGATGGGTTTGGTGCCACCCAGGATGGGAATTCCCATGAGAATCCTGGAGATGTCAGCACAGCTGGCATCTCCCGCTGCTGGGAAAGATTTGTTTCCATATGGCTCCCACACACTTTCAAGGATTCCCAAAATCCCCAAATTACTGCCAGGCATGGGAGTCTCACCTTTGGATCCAGGACTGGCTGGAAATAAATGGCATTGGGAGCTCCTAATCCAGATAAGTCTGTGGGATCTGGAAGCTCTGGGGCAGGAACTCCAAGCCAGGCAGAGCCGTGTTTTCCATCTGGATGCTGCTGATCCTTCTTTTGCTGATCAATTTGTGGATAGAATTCCAGCAGGAGCCTGGATCTCCATCGGTGCTTCCCTCTTCCCACTCCTGCCAAGAATTCCAGCTAATTTCATTTGTTTCTCTTCCCAGTCTCTGTTTTCCCTGCTCCCAGGAGCATTCCCGAGGCAAATACTCCCTCCTGGGAAGCCTAAACTATACAAAGATTTCACTGCTCCTGTTGGAAATCTTCATCTCATCCCAAGGGAACAATAATTCCACATTTCTCCCTCCTGATGGGAGAGAAACAATGGCAGAAAGAGTTTTGGGGTAACTTTGCCATCCAAGCCTTTTCCCATCCCTGGAATTCTCATCCTGGATGGGGCTTGGAGCAGCCTGGGATAGTGGGAGGTGTCCCTGCCCATCCTCACAGGACGATCCTTAGGATGCCTGTGCTGGGAATCAGCTCCTGTTGGAACACCGGGCAATAAACATGAGGACTGGGAGGAACAATTCTCAGTGCTCCATCAGCCTCTGGAGCAGGAGGAAGGTGTGGAAAATTCAGGAGCTGCTTTATGGCTTCACACCTTGTAAATGCAGCTGCTGGGAATTTTATGGGAGCTGTGGGGGTTCTGTTCACTGGGAAAAGAGAATTCCAGACCCACAGCACTCCAGTGCCTTCCCAGCCTGAGATTATTGCAGAGAATCACTGAAATCTAAGAGAAAACATAGGATTTTAATGAACTGGGGAAAACCAGAGGGATTTTAAGGATCATGGAATTCCAAGCATTCCATGATTCTTCCACATTTCTGGCAGGCAGAGCCACGGGATAAGGAAGCCCCTAAGGATAGACCCAGGATGTTCCCAGTGCACCTCAGCCACATCCAGGCACTTTCCTGGGATCACTCTCCCCATCATTCCTTCCCTCCATGCTGGGATCCATAGGAATTCTCATTTCCAGCACTGTTCAATACCAGCAATCCCCTCCTGCCTGGCACAGCCATGGTCCCACCACCCTGGAATGTCTCTTCCCTGCCCATCCCACAGGAAAGGTGGATCCCACCTGGATCCATCCAAAAGGGTTTACCCACCACCCCATCCTTTCTCTCCCTTTGCTTTTCCATCTCCAACAGGATTTTTGCGAAGAACTGGGATGCTGGTGAGTAGGACAGATAAATTAAATCAGGAAAAAATGGGATTGAGCCCAAAAAATCCCCAAATATCCAATTTTATTCCCTGGAAATGAAGCACCAGCACCTTCTTCTCCCTTCCCATCTCCTGTTTTTTGGGGTTTTTTTTGTCAGCCACTTCCAACATATTTCATCCTATTTTCCCCCCTCCTGTATTTTTTCCCTTTGCTTTTTTAATCCCAGCCTAGAAAATTTGGGATGACCTCACTTGCCCAAGAATGTTGTTGTTACCCTTGGAAAAGCTCCTTGCCTGGAGCTGTATATTTGCCTTGGCTGCACCCAGCTCGGATCCGACTCAGAATTCCAACCCTCCCAAACGTTCCTGAGCCGGATCCATCTCCCAAACATACCATATATCTCCTGCTTTTCCAAACAGAGATGGATTTCTCCAGGATCTGTTTGATAAATCCCAGCCCACATTCCCAGTTGGAGCTGTCGGAGTTCCTACTGTTTGCTCCGTGTTGGTGGTCAACCCTTAATCACCCAATGCTTCCCGGGAGGCCATAAATCCAGGGAATGAGCTGGGCCTTTGTGCAGGATTTGGACAGGGCTGAATTTCAGGGAAAAGCGGAGCCAGGATTTATGACCCTCTGAGGTTGGAGGCTTCCAGCATTCCCGGCCATGTGAAAACAGATGGATGCACGGACACTCCAGCACATCCCGCCTGACCTGAGATTCCCAGCACTGATTCCAAATGGGAGCCAGATGCCTGGAGAGGTCTTCATTATCCTGCCTTCCCATTTTTCCTTCAGGATTCATCCAGAACGATTTACCTAGGAAGGGAGCATCCCATTCCAACCCCCCTGGGACACCTGGGAATGAGTTTGGAAAAGCCCCAGCCCTGCCAATCCCACCCTGATCCATCCTTTATCCAAAGGGGATTTTCCAGGTGCATGCCTGGGATATCCAAAGGGATCTAGCCGGATGATTCTGGACTTCAGCAGCGAATTTTCCTAGAGTAAAACCCTGGTCCTGCTTTTCCCTGACAAACGGGATCAAGATGCCTGGAACAGGTGCTTGCAGCCTCCCAGATTTCCTTGTGCCAGTGGAAAATCGGAAATATGTTTGGTTGTTATTCCCACCAATAAAATCAGGAGGATTTGAACTAAATTTGAACCAAAAAAAAAGGTTTGAAACCCAAGTTTCAGCCCAGCCCTTGGAGCAAAGCTCAACTTCCCAAGGGTGAGAATTCTGCATCAGGAATTGTTTTAGAGAATAACAGGTGCCAGAGACTGTGGCACCCTCTGGAATGTGGCTTTGCTCCCATGGGAGCAGCATCCATCCAACCTATCCAGATTTACTCAATACCCAGGCATAATGAAATTAAAATATTAAATCCAAGTGTCCCAGTCATCATGGGGCAGCCCCATCCTGGGAAAAACTGAATTCCTGTCCACAAGTCGGAATTCCCTGGGAATGTTTTCCTTCCCAGGAGGAGCATTTGTCATCTCCAGAGCTGGGGCTTGCTCACGCACAGGGATGGATGGACTTTCGTGGAAGCTGAGGTGGGAGCAGGGAGCAGGAGCAGAGCTTCTCCAGTTGGGCGCCGAAAGGTCCCCACCTATGGCCGGCAGAGAAAAGTTGGGCTGGAGCAATAGTGGCCCTTGGGAGAAGCCAGAGGGAAGGAAAAGGAGCCACACCACAGGGCGGGTGTGCCTTTTGGCTTTGGGGACTCTATTCATTGCTTTTTGGGGGGCTTTTTGGCATGAGGTGTTTGGGAGGACTGTCTTTCGGGGGCCTTTTGTGCTTTTTGGAGATTTTGAGCTTTTCCTGCATAATTTCAGCTCTTCCTTTTTTGGGGACATTTTGCTGCTGCTGCGGGCTCCCGCTCTTCTTCTGGGCTCAGAGAGAGCACTGGTGGCAGAAGTAAGGTCACTGCACAATGTGGCTCACTGTCCCCCACTCTCCCTCAGGCTGCCATTTCCAGTCTTTTTTGCTTCAGCCTTTTCCTTGAAGTCCTTGTGAGAAATAAGGCTCGCTCTTCAAAATTGTTCAAAGTTTAATAAGGGATAAAAGGGGCAGTATAGTGGTGGGGGCATGGCAAATTGCCAGGGTGCACTAGTAGCTTAAAACAATTTTCTTATATACCTTTTCATTACATTGGTTAAATGCATATTCATGAGGATTCTACATAGTCAAATGTGAGTCTATGTGTTCTGGGAATTCTTTTGCTTGGCTCAACTTTTGACTTATTTTCATGCCATCCTGCAGATGAAATTCATAGATTTTATTTCTTCTTGAGGCTCTGTTCTGTTGTTTGATACTTCCTGATAACCTGGAGGGTCAGTAGTAAATCCCTACTTGCCTTTTTTTTTTTCTTGGTGTTTATTTTCCTGGTTCTTTTCACTATTATCATTCAGACAAGATACTCCACAAATACATTAAATCAACATAGCTATTTCACACAATTGTCTGAGCTATTTCTACCACTGACAGTTAGTTACACAAATAAAAGCACTCTAACATTACAATGCCCAGCACATAGTTTTTATATTATTATTTTGTGACTATTAAGCCTAAGCTATAATATGTATTTGTCACACTACTCTATAGATAACTCACACAGTGCATTGGCTACAAAAGCTGACAGATTATGCTCTATTAAAGCAGTCAGAAGTGGTTACAAACAGTACAATATCAAAATTGGTGTGCTTGATAACAATTTGCAAGAGCAAATACATAAATGTGAAAGCCAACAGCTATGTAGTTATTTATAACTTATAGGTATTGATAATATCCTGGATATGGATCTGCAGGGTCCATGCCGGGCCCTGCAGAGGCGCGATCGCCGCCGTGTCCTGGCAGGGCCCGGTGTTTCCCTTCTGGGCAGCAGGAGCTGGGCCCCGCCTAGGATGGCGCACACAGCTGTCACAAACAAGTTAATAGGTTAATACAATTGAAGCTGTTAATGCACCTGAAGCTGTAATAAGTGAATGTAATAGTTAAATATGTTAATTAAATAGTTATTAAATGTTAAACCATTAAATTACTCCTACTGTTAACCCCCTTACCTTACCTGTACCCTTGTTGTATGCGTCGGGTGTTGCCTCCGCTGCTCCCCAAAATGGCGTCGGGTAGCATTCCCGGGAAATATGCAAATTAAGGAACATTCAAGATAATCCAACAAAAGACTCTAGTAACGACGAGCCAACCTTGAATTTAAAGAACTAAGAGACTTTTCCTACTGCCGGGGAGCCCTCCTACTCTACCAGGGACGTTTTAGCTGTCACCATGACTAACCTGAAGTAAGGGCCCCAGATGAGGAGCCAAAAGACGTCTTCCTAGGAGCGCCCATGAGGAAGGAAGCCCCAGTTCTGCTGTCAGCAAAACTGCCAACCTCCTCCTCTACGTCGCCAAAAGGAGCAGCAGTGGCAGTGTGTGCGACCCCTGGGGCCCCCACCCAGAGCAGATCCCTTAATCAAGGCATCCAAAAGGAACAGGCCTCCTGGCCTCTTTGTTTCACAGCTGCTCTTCCCGTCATGGGCTCAGAGCTGACTTTCCTTTCTGAGGGACACAGCCAGTTTCAGAGAGAGTTACACCTTTATTTTTTCTTTAATACCCCTAAGAAATGTCTCCCCAAAGCGCACACTAAGCACTTCAAAAACATGCCGTGGTTTTGTTCACGAACGTCCCACCACCGCCACCAATTTTTAAAAATGTCATCAGGCCAGCGCCGTGCTGAGGCCAGTGATAAAAACTGAATCCAGATTTGGAAAACAATCAGGACTGACCACCTCATAATGACTTCTTCCTTCTTTTCTGTCTTTTCCAGCCCTCTTTCTTCCAGGAAACTTTTTTCTTTTCCTTTCTGTTACCAATAAACGGTTTCATATGCAACTTTTGCCTTGCTTGGCTCAATTTCCCTCCTAACCATCCTTTCTACAAGGTCCTGGCTGTTTCCTGCAGTGGAATGTAACAGCTGGGAATGGCAATTCTCTTTGCAATTCTCCCGGAATTCTCCTGCCTTTGGAATGACTTCTGCCTCTTCCCAATTCCCCTTGTTCATTCCCGGGGATTTGAAGCTGGGTGTGAGGCTGTCGTAGGGAAAATCCCAATCCAGGGGGATTTTCTGGTCCTCTGCTTCCTCGGCATGGAACAGACACAGGAATATGGGAAAACAGAAGAGGAAAAAGGTGAAAGAGGGGGAAAAGGTGAAAATCTCTTCTGGATTAAGAATTCCTGGAAAGACTGAGTTTTAGCTGGGAATAACCTGGAAGCACCCTGTGACATTGGGATTTTGGGGTCGTCCTGGGATAACACAAATCCCAAGGGATTCCCAGCTGGTGGTTGGGGAATTACAGGAATGGGAAGCTCTGGAAGTCCTTAACTCAGATTTTCCAGCTTTTATTTCATGCAAATCCCACAAAAACCTTTCTCTCCATTTCTTTTCCTGTCAGATTTCCCTTTCCTGCAAGGCTAGGATAAAACCAATCCAAATTTCCTCAAATCCAGGAGATTTATAAATAGTTTAAACTATTGCCAGGAAATTCCCAGTTTTGAAGGAAATCCCAGGAATTTACTCATTCCTTAGGGGGAAGGCGATTCCATGGAAAGAAGCAATTCCCAGATCACCAAATTATTAAAAACAAAGCTTTAAAATATGAAATTATCAAAATTTAATAAATTAATGAAATATTAAAAATAAATAAATCGTTATTAACAATGAAGAGCTCTGGAATTCCCACTGGGATTGGTCCTAACAGTCCCAGAAAGGGAATTTTAAGTCCTACCTAGATGCAAAATTTTAATAATGTAGGAACAATAGGAATTAAATTAAAAATTAGAAATAAATTATTAATACAGCTCTTGATCTACATTAAATTGAGGCTTATTCCTCTGACTAGTTGAAATAATTAATTTAATTCAATATATTAAATTAATTAAATAAATTAACCATGATATAATTAATCCATTATTTTATCTATAAAATAATAAATATTCAATATTCTAATAAATATACCCAACTAATATTCAAATGCAATAAAATGGGATTAAAGTAAAAATAAATATAAAATGTAATTTAAATTTATTTTTACTTTAATCTAGATTTAATAGAATTTATTGAAAATTAATTTCAAATTTAATTTAAATTTCATTTAAATTTAATTTTAAAATATTTCAGATTTAATTCAAAGGTAATTTAATTTTAATTTATTCCAATTTAGAATCATCAATATTCCTTAAAATAAAATTCCTTATTAATTATTTATTTTTAATTAATATTTTCTTATTTTATTCCATTTCCCCATATTTTAAAGGAATTTCAATATTAAATCCCTAATTAATTATTTATAATTAATTTCCCTCCCTATTTATTAATTATTTATAATTAATAAATAATATTAATTATTTATAATTAATTTCTGTTTTTTTATTTCATTTTCCCCATGTTTTAAAGCAATTATAATTCAAATTCTGTATAAATTATTTTGTCAAATAAATATTTTCTTCTCCTGATTTCTAAGGGCGGTTGAGGGAAAAGCCTTAAAATTCCAAATCTTTCCTAATTTTCCTTAGTTTTTTCCCTCTCCCTGACCACCTTCCCAGTGATTCCAAACCTTGGAATTCCTCTCCTTCAGTGATTCCAAGCCTAGGGATCCCTCTCTCTTTTCCATTCTCCCAAAGAAATCTTTTCTCTGGACCTGCTGCTTTCCAAAGAAAAAAATAATGGAAAAATATAAATAAAATCCTCTGCACATTCCCCTTTTCCTGCCAAATAAAGGCAAAGATGATCTTGGAGTTGTGTACCAGAATTATTGGAATATTACTCCTTTTACAAGAGCCTTTAAAATCCATCTTGAGGGTCGGGAGATTGGAACCAGTGCTCAGGAATTGTTTTGAGGGGAATTATTGGAATTTTTATTACAAGAAATCAAATCCAGGTGGGTCCCTCATCAGCTGCACTCTGGATTTTAATAAAAAGGAAAAGTTCTGGCACATCCTGGACTTTTTGGGGGGATTTTTTTTTTCATTTCTAGCCTCTCTTTGGACAAGGATAGGATGCAACTTTATGGGGTTGTGCCAGGAATAGGATTGGGAGTGTACTTCCCTATGGATTTGGGATTGTGGAGTTCATCATCCTGGGATTTGTGAGCTGGGTGTCCAAAGGTAGTTTTGGAATCACCTGAAATTTTGTAGGAAAAGGCCATTCCAGGCTGGGAAAGAATATTCTCCTCAGGGAAAGAATATTACAGTCCTACAAGGTATATTCTCCTCAGGGAATGACTATTCGAGTCCTACAAGGAATATTCTCCTTGGGGAATGGATATTCCAGCCCGACAAGGAATATTCTCCTTGGGGAATGGATTTTCAGGCCTAGAAGGAGCTGCCCTTCCCACATCCCCTTTCAGGGAGCGGGGAGATCCTGCCTGACATCCACAGACATTGGGAACATCTGGAGGGAATCAAATCTCCACAAAATCCCTGCAAACAATGGGAAAATCTGGGCAAAAAAAATATCCTCCCTTCCAATCCTGGCTATTTTATGGGATGTAAACCTGTAAGAAATTCCATGTTTCTGGGAAACACCCTTCCCTTTGGATAAAATTCCTCTTAAAAAAACAAACAAAAAACAAAACATAACAAACAAAAAAAAAACCCCACCCAACTAAATTAAAAAAATATATATTTTTAGAGAATTCCACGAAAAAGCCCAGGGAAAGATCCTACAAAAATGGGCAAAGAATAAAGGCAAAACCATTAATTCCCAATAAAGTGGCTACAGAATTCCACAACCTGGCCCAAATCCAGCAATCCCGGCATTTTTTACCTCACCAACAGGACCAGTTCATTTCCCACCCTCAGCCACTGTTTTCCTCTTGGAAACATCATAATTCCTGGGATTTGTGGCCACTGTCCACCTTTATTCCCGGCCACAAATCCTGTGATGAAGCAGATCCAGAGGCACCCTGCCCTCTGAGCCGTCGGTCTGTCAGAAATTCGGCATTTCAAGAAAGCAGGGGAGGCTGGAGAGGCGGGGGAGGCAGCTGCGGCATTCCCAACTTCCACCGCTTTTCCAAAGGCAAAGGATGCCTTAGGCCGCCATCTAGTGACTTTTAGGGAGAGAGCACTTCCAGAGGGAATTATGGATGAGTTTGCTCATCCCAGATGTCAGGATTCCCAAAAAACACATCACTCCAAGCCGCCGAGGAAGCAGCTCCCGATCCATGGCCTCCCTCTATCCCGCTTCATCCTCTTAAATCCCAGTTTCTCACCGAGTCTGGGCTGGGCATGAGCTCGGGAAGCCGAGGATCTCTCGGCTTTCCAGAGCCCTTGGAATGCCCCTCGTACCACCCATCCTTGTCCCCTCAGCCACGAATCCCTGGATCTCCTTCCCGCCCTTCCTGAACTCCCGGGATGTGGGAGAAAACAGCTGGAAGAAAAGCCCAAAAATGAGAATAAATATTTGGGAAAGAGTTTTCTTTTGGGAATCTCTTCCCTTTTTTTTTTTTTTTTTTAAGATCCTGGAATTCCATGGCTCTGAGCACGACAGGAACCACTTCCATGATTTTTGGATAGGAATAACATGGAAAGGAGCAGAGTGGGGAACGTTGGGATTTTTTCGGGAGACTCCTCTTGATCCCAAGTCAGCGACACTCATTTACTCCAAGGCGCCGCTGGATTCTGCCGCTCCATAAAGCTGCCTTTATTAAAATCCCGGGATTTTCCTAGATTTACTGGAGACAGGGACGCGTGTCCCCGGCACCCCATAATTCCCGGCACCCTCCGCTCCCGGTGACAGAGCTGAGGGAAAGCGAATTCCTGAGTGGAATTCGCCTCATTCCAATGCTTTATGGGGCGCGGGTGACACGAGGGGTGACACGGGGGTGGCTGCGGCCGCGGGAATTTCCCTTCCCGGGATAATTAAATCCCGGGATCTGCTGTAATGAGGCTCATTAGGACGCCCCATTTAAAGCCCCATTTAAGCTAGACTTTAAAAAAACTCCTTAAAAAAAAGCAGGATCGGCTCAGGAGCCCCAATTAGAGGTGGCTGCTGATGGCTCTTCCCAAAAAGTGCAGGAATGCGTCTCCAAAGGCATCGGGAAAGTGGTGCCAGGGAAAACAGCGGGAATGGGGAAAAAACAGGCAAAGCTCCCAAATACGGGAATGAGGAGCGGTGGGAACACGGCGAAAGGGCTGAAAGTAGATCAGGGACATTCCAGGGGGGTTTCAATTCCAATTTGTCCCCAAA